TTTTTTTTTTAAGAAAATTATTTGTCTATATTTCTGAGATGAAGTATTATGTACATTATTCGGACTATTGTCCTCATCTTTGTCACCATATTTATTACAACGTTTCGGACATTGTATGCTCCGGCCTTCTTCAGTTTTGCTCACTGGGGTAGACTGTTCTAGTTCCATGTGCCATGTTTAATGGATGTCAGTTATCCTTGAGGACACATGGCACAGTGGATAAAGGCATTGGTTAGATCCAGTGACTCTTTGACCCAAAGAGTGTGAGTTCAATACCCGGTTAAGGCAGTGGAGAACTTTCAGAGGGAAATTAACAGGAGATAACTGATAACTGACATCCATTAAACATGGCACGTGGAACTAGAACAGTCTATCCCAGTGAGCAAAATAAAGGGTTAAGTTCGACATTCCAACCACCTGAAGAAAGCTGGAGCTTACAATGGCCAAAACGTTGTAATAAATATGGTGACAAAGATGAGGACAACAATCCGAATAATGTAAGATTATTTTGTTTTATTTTTCTGTGATGCGGTCATGGGTATATAAAGCTAGCCTCACTTCTTTCATTTGTGTTCTAGTCCTTTAAATATCGCAAGAGTGGGAAACTTGAGTTAACATTGTGAAGCGTTTTTTGCTTTGTTTAGGTAATCTAGATATTGAGCACTTTTTTTTACTGAGTAGATAGGTGTTTATCTTTAGGCCATTTTTTCTTTACTTGTTTGAGATTTTCAATTATTTAAGGTGTAAGATCTTTTAGCAAGTTGCCTGTTGGTTATACTGATATAGTTGGTCTATCTTTAATAGTGTGTGTATATACAGGGTGCAATGGAAGAATTGTTGCCATTTTACATTTTTAATTTTGTGCATGCGCATTGTTTTTGATTTTGTCGACTGCACAGACAGTTGGGCACCATCTGTGAGAAAAGGAGCACCATGATGCAATTCACTCTGCCAGAAATTTGGAAATGGCATGCTTTACTGCTTAGTATTTGTGCTGGAAGCTCCAGTGGTATATTTCAGAGTGTTTGGATGTCAATTTGAGGACAGTGCAGAGGATTCGGAAAAAGTTGGATGAGTTTAATGGTGATTGTGAAGGTATTTGGTCTGATCACTAGTGATGGCGACATTATGCCTCCATTCATCTTCCCACAGGGCCTCAGACACAACATTGAGGCCTATATCAAGTGCCTTGAGGAGGTAGTGCTACCCTGGTTCAAGAGGGTGGCTACTGGAAGACCCTATGTCAGGCAACAGGACTCTGCACCATGCCACACAAGCAAAAGAACCACGTCATGGCTGTCAGTTTCTGCAACCATATCACCCTTTACATTGGTCACTTAACTCTCCAAATTGCAAACCCCTTGATTAATATCTGTGGGATGCAGTTGAACAAGAGACCAACAAAATTTCTTGTAACATCAAAGATGAACTGAAGGCAACAATTATGGCAGAATTCACCGGCTTAAACAAGAAAACCATCCAAAAGAATTGCAGAAGATTCCAAAGTCGTCTGGAGGCCATGGTTAAAGCCAATGGCAATTTTATTGAATAAATTTACTCTAGTATTTCAAGATATTTTTGTGTAGTTTTGGTAAATAAACTGTTAAAATGAGATGTCATTATTTTCATTTTTGTGTAATTTAGGCAATTTATCCATTGTACTCTGTGTGTGTATATATATATATATATATATATATATATATATATATTAATAAATAAGTACATATACATGTACCTACATTTTGGTGTGCGACTAGTGCCTGATGAGCTGGGAACCACCCAGTAAAACTATAATCGCACTAATTAATATATATCTTTGCTCTGTATAACTGCATCGAGCACTATCATGCTTACACCTCATGTATAAATTTAATGATTATTTATTTGCTTGCCCATGTATGCACACCAGCATGTGCGTACATGCTTGATTATATCTGGCCATTTTAGTTATCTACCCTACAACTATATATATATATATATATATATATATATATATATATATATATCAGTTTGTATTCCTGAAAAACATTTAGAAGTGTTTTTCACATGTGCTGATCATTGAAGCCCCGGGGAGAGGTATGCTTTTCCACAGTGGCTGCAGAAGATCTAGCAATCATAAGAAATTTCAATTTTATACTTTTTTCAAATCATTTCACCCCTAAGCAAGGTGATAATGTCACTAGGACTTTAGTGAGGAGAAGTGAAGAAAGAATGATAAAGGAACAGGGTTCAGGAAAACAGAAGATGGCGATTGATGTTGCATTTAAATTTTTGAAGATTGTAGGTGGCAGGGGAGCAAGAAATCATGAGAGTTCCACCGGCTAGAAGTGTGAGAAAAGAGGCTGTTAAAATAGAAGAGGTGGTTGCATCTAGTTAGTTCAACAGTAAAACTGAGACCTAGTTGCCAATCTAATAGCATGTGTAAGTTCATGCAGTTGAACATTAAAATATTTGTATTAAATGTCACAACAGTGAGAAAGTGACTGAAACTGAGTTGTCAGATCAGAATCGATTACGTTACAGACCCTTCTGTGGCTTTTATGTTGCCATGTATCCCTGTTAACAGCCTTTATGTGGTTTAGGTTTGATGTATTTTGTTTTATGGCTTATTGCCCTAAACAGGTTATTTAATGCCAACAAGATTTTTAGGATAGGTTCATATTAATAGAACATGTATTCTTTGTAAGAAATCTGTAGATCAGGTTTTATTGATGTATTTTGTAAAGAGAGTTTTTTGTTGAGAGCCAAATGTATTGTGGGTAATGTTTGTTTTTTAAGCATATTGCTGTTATTTTTACTATAAAAATTATTTTTATGCTTTTATAGTGTTTTGACCCCAGTTTGGGGGTTAACTATTTGCCCATTGCTGGGATCCTAACAGGTGCTACCACCCTGGGTCAGGGCAGACCTGGGAACAACATCAATTAAGAGGTGATTCCACACCCCTGAAAACCTCCTAATCAGAGTCCTTGCTGCTGGATGTAGTTTATCATCATACCCAGGATGCAGCCTTTGTTGTCCCCTGGCAGCAATTGATTCAGTAAGAGACCCTTGTATATCCAACAAATAGGATGGTCTTTAGATGAACATTTGTCTTCTATACTTACCACATAGATTGCCCATTGCAGATTACTCTTTTTGAGCACAGCTTCAATGTTTGTGTCCCTGGCTGACTTAAGAATTTCAGTGTTAGTGATGAAGTCACTGCAGTGTACATTTGGAATGATGCAGAGATGACAGCAATAGAAATGTTTGAGGAGGTGTAAATGATATTGGTATATGACCCAGAATTTGGTTCTACACAGAAAGGTCAGCAGCACAGTAGTTTTGTAATTTGTAGATATGCTTTCACACCAATACAGATACAAGTGTTTATACATCTTCAACCTACAGAGTGCTGGTCAGAGAGATGTAGAGTCAACCACTTTGATGGGTGAGTGATAGTATGTCCAACATAATTATTTATGAATTTATTTCATCATGAACGCAATACTCTATGGAGAATTTTAATTTATAAATAATGTTGATCTGATATAGTTTTGATTTCGCTAGTGAGCTGTTTTTTCTGATGACAATGTTTGACATTTTTAATTTTTTTATAATAGATAATTAACTTTATATATATAGTGGTCCTTTCTTACCTGAGGTTTAATGTTTTTGTAGTTACAGTTACCCATAGTCAACTCTAGAAATAAACAATTAACTTTTACTTAATTATAGTACCAAAGAAATAAACAATTAAGTTTTACTTAATAATAGTTCCAAAGTGCAAGAGTAGTGATGCTGGTCATTCCAATATGTCAAAGAGAAGTCACAAAGTATTTCTTTTCAGTGAAAGAATGTTTATATATCTTCAACTTTGATCAATGTTTCTTTCAATATCAATACTAATCAAATATTTTTTAAAATTAAGATTTCTAACACTTTCTTCTCATTAGGACTAAACACTGTACACCAATTATTCAGAAAATCCTATTTATAAACAGATTAAAAGTAAAAATAAGTACAAGTGAGTCCTGAAAAGTTCTCATTTTTTTCTTGGAAAAACTTTTTGGTCAAATCAAGAACTTTTCAGCATTCTTCATAAATCAGTTTGAAGACATTTGTTACTTATTGTACTGTATTAATAGCATTTTAGTCACAATTGTCAGCAGCACAATTGTTTGATTTATTTGGTTATTTAAAGCCAAAACATTTTGGATTGGAAGAATAATTTCTTTTTTTTTTTGGAGCAAATATTGCATTAACAAATTTTTAATAACAATGATTTTGTTTCTAGATAAAAGTCCTACTATTTAACCTGTAGCTGGGATGGAGTTGTTGTAATTCATATCTTTCTCAAGGATATTTCTGCATAAGTGAATGTAACAAGGATGTGTATTGTGGTATAATAGCTGACAACTCAGAATGAGAAATCAAAGATCCAAGTTCAAATTCCAGTCAAGTTCATTACATTCACTTATGTGCAAATACCCTTGGGAAAGGTATGAATCCATCTCTTCATTCCCTAGCTATGGGTTGAATAGCAGGAAAGACTGGGTTCTATAGCCTTGATTGGCAACCAGACTACCACAAAAAGAAATGGAAGACTACTGCAGGAAAACTTTCTGCCTAGTCAGTCATGAATCAAAATAAAATTATCCACGTGTGTACCACATATGGCACTTAACTGACTGACTGAATGTAATGAACCCAAATGGAATTTAAACTCTGCTCTCCAATTTCTCATTCTGAGCTGCTTGGCAGAAGTAGAAATATTTAAAGAAACTGACAAAGAACAAAAACAAGGAGTAGATATTTATTTTTTAAAATCAAAACTTGCAAAAAAAATAGAACAAAATAGTTGAACACAAAAGACAATACAATCATTTACACACAATGAAAACATCAAACGATTTCACATTTGTCTTAACAAAAACAATGAAATGTAGTAAGGTTGTTTAAAGTTCAGTGTATATTAACAAGGACTTAACCTCTGGCTAGTTACTGGGGAAAAATGTTCACCTAAAAGAAAAAAAAAAGACAGAAATTAAATCAGATATGCACTTTAACCTCAGTGAAAACATGAATAATCAATGTTCAATATATTTTCTGTATTGTAAAAAAGAAATTTCTGTTATGTTTATAAGAAGGAAGGGAGGTTACATCAGGAGTTCCAGTTATTGTTTTTGAATTTTTACTTTTAAATTATAAATTTCCACATATGTAAATTATTATTTTTTTTCTTGTGTTGTATTTATTGATGATCTTCAAAAGGGTCACACCATCAAAGAAGAGTACTATGTCAACTAGCTGAGGCAGTTACAAAGGGGTATCAAGATCAAATGCCCAGGAAAACTTATAAAAGGGGTCTTGTTTCATCAGGACAATGGGAAGAACCAAATCTTGTATATTGATTAAAAATATAACAGAATATCTTTGAGCAGAGATTTAAAAATCTTGAAATGCTTAATGTTTAATCTTCTTTTCATAAAAGATAACCTAATAGTTTGAATACTTTTAATGTTTGAGAAATTAGAATTAAATGTATAAAAAAAATTGATGTCTCTAAAATTAAACTAAACTGATTATAATGAGAAAACATAATATCATTGTTTAAAAAAACAACAGTATTGATTAATATGTAATTCAATAATAAATGTATAAAAATGAAAAATATGATCAGATTACCTTGAAAACTTTTTAGAAACATCAAATATGGTTGGAGTTGGACTCTCACTGATTATTGGGATACAGGGAGTTTCTAGAAAAAGTGAAATGTTCAACAAATAATTAACAAAATACAGCAGGTAGTGAAAATTTTAGTTTGTCAGCATAATTTTGAGAATTATACAAAGAAGACCATATATATATATATATATATATATATATTGTTTGAAATTTGCTATATTTATAGGGGAAGTGTTTAATATATATTTTATCATTTTAAATGTTATTTATAGTGGATAATCCATATTTGTGTAGACACTCCATGCATTTATTAAACTGTATATTTATTTTCATCTACTATCCTGAATATTTGAGAAATCTTATTAAAGAAAAATATGTGGTGTCCAGGATATTTTTCTTTAATAAGATAATTAATAAATAAATGGAGCATCTACTCAAATATAGGTATCCACTAAAAATAACGTTTAAAGGGATAGAATCTGTTGTATTAATAAATAAAATATCCATTACTTATTAGAAATTGTGTGTGTGTATATATATATATATATATATATATATGAAATAGTATATATATTTATATATCAAGAATAACATTGGGTAAAATGTATGACAAATTGGAAAAAGTTTTCTTGTGACGCATTTTGTCCTTTATCAGACCGATGAAAGTGGAAATGCCTTCACATTTCCTCTTTGTCATACATTTTCCCCAATATACAGGGTAATTGAAAAGTAACCCCCTATTTTATGCATGATGGACTTTCCCATGTAACTATAATTTTTACAGGAGAGTCCATCATACATAAAATAGGGAGTTAATCTTTCATCACCCTATATATATATATATATATATATATATATATATATATATATATATATATATATACATATCATGCAACCTTTGAAGACCTCATTTTGAAGCTAATTTGACTACAGTAAATGGATATATAGCTTGGTCAATGGCATAGCCAGGACCAGCAGTACATATGCTAATTTTATGTTTTGTGTATGATGCGACCCCCTTAAAATTAGCATCAAAAATTAGGACTTCAAGTCTCATGATACATGAATATATATGCTTTTTCATACTCATCTTTTTCCTTTTACCGTATAGATTACTCTTCCAATTCTATTTGAAATAATTCCATCCTCCCAAAAACATTCTCCACCTCAGTAGTTCTTAAAGAAAACTTTATCACCAGGCGTATACTTCTTTGCTCAGAAATTCTCATTATTATGCATTTTCTATTTTGGACAAGGCAACAATCTGTTGAATATTGATCTGATCTTTCTTGCAAAGATCAATTCCACAGGTGACGATTTTGCTGTATTGTTTGCATTCGGTGTTACCCTGTATACTGCTAAGAATTTCTGTATAGCTTTCTCCTCTGTGTCTACTCCTTGATTTTTCTTTAATACTCGCTTGAATGTGTTCATTTGACCCTGGGTGGTAAATCAGAGTTGTGACATGTTCAATGTCCAATGAAGCACAGAATTCTTTACCTGTAAATGCAGTTCTGTTATCACTGACCAAGCACTGATAGTATTTCTAGAAGTTGGGTGTTTGTATTTAAAAACTTCTGGCCACTTTGAGAAACTATCCACAAGGATCACGTAATTATACCCATTAAGTGGTCCAGCATAATCAATGTGTAGACGTGTCCAGAGGATATCAGTTTCTGGCCATGGTTGTGTTTTAACTGGCGGGGCTCTTGCAACTAACTGACACCCTCTGCAGCTTTTCACAAAATTTTCAACGTCAATATCCATTCATGGCCAAAAAACATAATTTCTCATAAGAGATTTCATACGAGATATGCCAGAGTGACCCGTATAAAATTCTTTTAAGATCTTTTTATGTAATGCTTGTGGCATCACCACCCTCTCTGTGTACATTAGCGTATTTTCGCAGATTGAATAAGGAGAAATTTTTATTCTTTTTATTTCTTTCATTTATCCTGGCTTGTACTTTCATATCTTTAATAAAATTATCATTTTCTGCTGCTTTCCTTATGTCTCCCAGTGTCACTGGTAGTTCCCAAACAGTATTACACAACAAATGTGATATTTCTTGTTCATTCTTTAAAGCCACAATTATAATTTCTTCCAAAATTTCATTGTTTTGGAAACAATCTTGATAGTCCATCTGCATGACCTAAATTTTTAGATGAGATGTACTCCATTTTAAAATGGTAATTGAATAATGTTACACCCCACCACTTTAATCGGTTTGCAGTACAAGTTGGAATGTCCTTTTTGATCCAAAAATGGTCAGTAATGGCTTATGGTCAGTTTGCAGTGTAAACACTCTACCGTGAAGGAAACGATGGAATTTTTTAACTGTGAAAATGATTGCTAAGCATTCCTTTTCAATTTGACTGTAATTCTTTTCTGCTGACAAAGGAGTCCTTGAAGCGTGTGCAATTGGTTTTGTTGAACCATCTTTGTATTTGTGAAGTAGCACTGCTTCGATTCCATATTCACTAGCGTCAGAAGCAACAACTATTTCTTTTTCTGAATCATAGTACGTCAATATTAAATCAGTCAGTAAACAGTTTTTAATTTTTTGAAAAGCTTTTTCACAGTCTTTGGACCAACACCATTTAACCCCCTTTTTCAACAATTCGTTTAACAGTGCTGCTAATTCATACATCTTTGGAATGTATATTGCGTAGTATTGTGCCAAACCTAAAAATGATTGCAATTTTGCCACGTTATCTGGGGCAGGCATATTTCTTATGGTTTCAGTTCTCTGTGGATCTGGTTTTCTACTATCTTTATCCACAATCTGCCTGAGATACTTAATTTTTCCATAAATAACTCACATTTTTGGGGGTTCACTTTGAATCCGAATTCTTCTATTCTCTTGAAGATAGCACTTATGTGTTTTTTATGCTCATCCATATTTTTACTTTTCACCAAGATGTCATCGAGATAAGCAATGGGAAATTATAACCCTGCAAGCATTGTATAAAATGTTATCTCTTTCACTAACCATGTTAGAATTATAGAAAGCCATGCTATATTTTTATTTCAAATTATTCCAGTTCATCGAAAGTAGTTTACTATTGGCATTTGTAAAAACTGTTTGAAACCTTTGTTCAGTAATGCTTTGCATTAAGTTATACATTCTCAAAATCTAATAATGATTATGACTTAGTGATTGATTGGTTACTTACCAAGTCTTCCTTGAGTGGGAGGAGTTCTGATGGAGACCCTGGCTGGCATCTGGGGCAGATAATTAATACTCTAGAAAAATAAATAATAACATTTATTGAATCTAGCAAATGAATGTGATGATTTTTCAGACAACAATAGTTTATGGGTCAGATGTTTTATTCACACTTTATTTAATTTATATATATATATATATATATATATATATATATATATATATATATATATATATATTATTCAGTCCAGTATATGAATATAAATAAATATACTGTTTAATAAATAAATGGACCATCTACTCAAATATGAATATCCACTAAAAATAACATTTAAAATGATGATAATCTGCCAAACCAATAAATAAAATCCATTACCTCAGAATATATATATAGGGTGTCTAAAAAATACTTTTACAGATTTTGGGGGCAGGTTCCTCAAACAAAACAAAGACAGAAGTGCATATAAACATATGTCCACAAATCCTTTGTTTTTGAGTTATTAAGTTGAAAGAAAGTTTATAGTAGATGGTGCTGTGTTGCCATGTAGACTAGGTTACGTTTGTCATTCACGTATATTTGTGGCTAATCTGTCTTCAACATTTAATCTGTGTAGTTGTGAGTTAACTGAGAAGAGTTCTATTTAAAAATGGTGGTATTTTCATATCGCAAGCAGGCAGATAAGATTTTTACATACGGCCACATGAATGGTAATGGACATGAGGCTGCATCAGATTATTTCCAGATTGAAGGCAGCCGAGTCATCCAGCCTTTACTGCTATTTATCATTGCACTACTGAGACAGGATCCGTGGCACCACAAACTATGGATCGAGAAAGACCAAGATCTACTTGTACACCTGACCACAAAAAACACATTCTACATGGGCTTTTGGACATATGTTTATATAGACATTTTAGCTTGTTTTGGTGTCAGGAATCCACCCCCAAAGTTTTGTAAAAGTATTTTTCATACACTCTCTATATATATATGAGTGGATGGAGTGATTTCCAGAGGATATGTCTATGAAACACTGGAGTCAGGATACTGAAGGTAATATCAATCAACTAAGTGACAAACCTTTTACTTGTATTACACACACACACACACACACACATAGAGAGGATCCTCAGTCCTCGAACATCTCACATGTCAAACAAATCGGTTTTCAAACAGAAAATTTGAGATGAAAATGCTATGGTTATTGAACAAAATATCAGTTTTCGAACAACATTGCCAAACCGAGTTTACCCGAATGGAATAATTTCTGAGTTGACTGTTGTGTTGTATACATTCGTGTGTTGTGGCGTGCTTTTCTTTTCCAATTTTATTGTACTGTGACTTTTTCTCTACATTGATTCCTACTGGAAAAATAGTTTCGGTTTATGAAAATTTTGGGTTACAAATGGCCTTTAGGAACAAATTAAATTTGTGAACTGAGGTTTCACTATATATATATATATATATATATATATAAAAAAAATAGATATACATACATACATACACAAAGTTATAAAATTAGATCTTAATTTTGTCTATATTTCAGCTGCATATATGATTTCCAAGTTAATGTGATTATTCTTCCCAGAAATAATACGAAAAAGAACACATTCCTCTGACTACTAAGCAAGTTAGGTCTTTTATTTTCAATGAAAATAGAAATTAGGTTTGACTTTAGATTATATTTACAAGCCTTATGCAGTTAGATAAATAAAAGTATATGCATCAAATAAATAATGTATTCTTCTTACCATGTTTGACTGAGTATTTCTAGACTCAGTTAACTGAGACCTAAAAATAAATAAAAGGGAATAAAGTATATTTTCTTTATTAAACTGGATATATTGTCTTTAAAAAACACTGAGTACAAATATTGTAAACTTACTCTTCAAGAAATATTTTCAGCTCAATTTTGAAATTTAAAACAAAAAAAAACATTATTTGTACAAACAAACATATAATAACTGACTGAACATTTTATAGCCTGATTAAGAATAAAATATGATAAAGAATATCTAAAATTTTAAAAATGCATAATTTTACTTGATTTTAAGGAATAATTTATTAATCTGATTTTTTAGTCTTTCTTTTTACAAATGTTACAATGATTCTCTCAAGAAAGTTAATTTTAATGTTTCCGGTTTTATTTTTTAATTTTTAACAATTTTGTTTTTAGACTGCAAAATTTATTTAAAAATGCCATTATTTGTCACATAAAGTGGATTTAATATTTTTTCTATAATATTGTGATACATAACAAATATATTGATGATAAAAACTTTGAGTAATTGGTATTTTATTTTATTCTAAAAGGTATTTAAAAAAATTATGTTGAATTTTAGTTTAGTTTATCATTAAAAAAAAAAGAAGAAAGTGTAATATTTTTATACTACAAAATTAATGAAAAAGTAATTTATTAAGAGTGTTGTTATGTAAAGTTAATGTCATAATTAAATTCAATTAAATTTGATATTTTTAGATATCATAAATAAAGTATACATTAACCACCCCTTTTAAGAGGCAATTTTTTTCTAGGTATTTTTTCTAAAAGCTATATTTATGAGAAATTAGTATAACAATAGTTACTTCATTTCTAAACAATAAAATAACAGCTAAAATATAATTTTTTTATGCATGGACAAATATTTAAATGGGTTTGTTTTTCGTCATTTTTTACTTGTTTTTAAATATTTGTAGCATAAAAACAAAATATTATGCAACATTATTATGTGAATGAAGATTTCAGAGATAATTTTATAGATAAAATGGTATTCATTATTGTAAATATATAACAATCATGTAATTTTTAAATGATAAATAATTTTAAAATCAATATTCAGATATAAAAGTTATCGCCCTTTAATTTTGGTTTTTCAGTGAAGTGAACAATTTGACAAAGTGAAAATTCGATTTAATGCTTTCATGCAAATGGCATTTTGTTATGAGTGCCTTTTGGGCAAACCAGTCTCTTCACTACATTCCAGTAAGTTGTGACGAGAATATACATTCATTCACATGGAGTAAAAGAAAAGGGGAATTTCCCTTCTTTTCACATCATTTCTCTTATTACTATTTTCATGCTCACTATTGGACTGAATTCTTTACCAATCCACTTCCTGCCATATCCAGTCAAGGGAAGTAACTCTACATTCCTTAACATTAATAAGAAGACATGCAATATGTGGTGATAATGTAAAGTTTTTAGTCAGAACAAGAAGGGATTGCCTATAAAATTGGGCAGATTTCGGGAATTGGATTGGGCTGAGAACTTTTCAGCTTACCCTTGTACTTTAGGATAAAACAACTTTTGTAAATCAATTCAACTTCATTTTGTTTCATGAATACATTTTTTTTTCTAGTCTGTAATTAAATATTTGCATATACATAACTGTAAGAGATTTATTTACATTTGAGCTAATGTTATCATCCATAGTCATAGCCAGCAGAGGTAAGAATAATCTACTCTGCAATATAGCAACAACTCTAAGTGGAAGCTTATGAAGCTTTATTCAACTAATTCAGCTTTAGTGCTGAAAATGTTTATTCTATTATAGTGGATGGTTAGAGGGGAGATGGGATGTGCTTATTTTATTACCACATACTGGTTTATATTAAATAAAGGGTTCAGTTCAAAATCTCAAGATTATCTGGATTTGACAAATACCTAGTCAGGGAGCACAATGGCCAAAACTTTGTGATAACAGAGATGAGGATATTAGTCTGAATGCAAATAATGATAACTCTGCATCTCAGAAATTGAGACAGAAATTGTAACAGTTTTAGGAAATTATTCAAGTGAATCAAGGATTTTGTGCTTACAAATTTAATCTTTTAAAAAGAAAAAGATGACCATTACGAAAGAAACAATATTAATTTGCATAACATTTTTTCAAATAAAATTCAGTAATGACAAATACATAAATCTACAGATCCTGTTTTTTTGTTTATTCAGAAAGAAAAGGGATTATTTCAAGGTATTTTGTTAGTCAAAACTTTACAACAGTTATACCATAACTGAGGGCACTAGAATGACTCAAAAATATATACTGGGAGTTATACATTAATTTGAGGTATGTGGCAGGCCAACATTTACCCAGATACCAGACTATGTTAGTACTTTATCTAATCTTATTCCATAATAATTTAGTATTAAATGGATATAGAGAGTGTATAAGTTACACAATCACATATGGTACAAAAAATTAACTGTTACTTACAAGTAATTACTTGGTGTGTTACATCTGGAAGTGTTGGATATGGGAGTGTTAGGCTTTGAGTAAGGGTAAGGAGACATATTTTCAATAGGAGACCTTGAGGGTGAGGCTGTAAAGAGAATATACAAATTTTAAAAAGCTAAAACATATATGTTGGTGTAAAAATATATTTGTGAACCCAATGCCTAGCCAAAGTTTAATTCCATATTGCACATGACCAAAGTTTTTGCTTCTTTCTTACATGTTAATGCTGTAGAAGTGGAAGGATTTGTGCAAGTTGCTAAAACACCAATGACCATTAAAACACCAACAGTTGCCAAAACACCAATTAATACCAAATGTTGCTAAAATACTAACAGTCAACACCAAAACATGAACTGTCAATATCAAGTCATCAAAACACCAACAATCAACATTAAATGTTGCCAAAACATCCAATGGTCAACACCAAATTATAAAAACAACAACGGTCAAAATCAAATGTTGCCAAAACACCAAAGGTTTTCATCAAGTGTTGTCAGAACACCAACAATTACCAAAACATCCAGCCATAAGAACATGCATAAGCAGCAAAAGTGTTTGTATCTGGCACTCAAACAAATGTAGCAGTTTATATAGACATCCAAAAACCCATGATTGATCAGATTAAAATTAGCATGTCCTGCCAATTTCTATATAAGAGAGTTAGAGACAACTCGTTTTTGTTTTTCTGGCAGAAAAAATACACAATCCATGGGCATTTTATTTGACGAGGAAAATGACTACTTTTCATTGCTACAGAAAGTCTTTTAATTGTAAAATATATTTTCTATGTTCAAGATATATAGAAAACAGTTTATATTTATACATACACATCAAGAGATACATGTAGATGTTTTACAGAGTGTAACCAATTCTGGCACAAGGCTACAATAGTGGAGCATTTAAACACTAACAAAAATTTGCAATACTAAATTCTTTTAATAAGTAACTTGTTTATAAGCAATTATACTCTAATTTAGCTAATTCTTAAGCAACTACTAATGTCAATGTGACATAAGCAACTAAAAAACAAAAAAAGTAAAACAAACTTAAACAAAAAATATGTCTGAATTTCTGAGAGTTTAGGAGAGATAACAAAAAACAAAATTTATTAACAGCTACAGACAGGAAATTGTGGAGAGCCATGATCACCAATGTCCTGAAGGGAGACATAGATGCAGAAGATGTTTAATCTCTAATAAATCAGTATTACAACATATTTTATCTTTAATATCTAGTAACAGATCATTATTATAATGTGTTTATTTTTAGTCATAATTTTGGTATATTTTTATAACTAACTCATGAAATTAAGAAGCTTTCAAATTTTTTACACTGGTGAAAACTAGCAATAAAACAAGTACTTGACAAATTTCAAGAATGCAGATTGTGTAATTAATTATGACCTATTTGAAATTTTAAATGAAACATTTTTTTTTTTTTATGTTGCTGATTAAGAATTGTTAAACTTTTAGAAATAACAGAAAAACAAATGAAACTCTTAGCACCAGAACTTATGCAGCACTGTAAACTAACATATGTGGCAGGGATTTCAATATGGCTTTTTCCAATACACACACATTATATATGTATATTTACCAAATGAGACTAAGGTTGAAACCTGGGTACCATTAATGGTGAATTTTTCTATCTTTTAATATTATTATCCACTTTACACATTCAATTTTTAGAATTGTGTATTGAGCACTTTCTTAAAATATCCATCCTCTGATCTGACTCTGGTAAGGCCAAATACTTTTATATCCTTAAATATATGTGTGCATGTGTGTGTGTGTGTGTGTATATAAGTGAACATTGAAATCAATACCCAGTGGTAACTCTTTCATGCTAAACACAATTGTCAGGCCATTTAGTATGAAACAGGTTGTTGCCACTGGATTTTGACTTCAATGTCCACTTTTATATTTACATACACTTTATCGCTGATATTGAGCACTTTAACCCATAAATATAGCATACCTAGGTGTTTGGATGAATATATATTTCATCCAAAAAAGTTTTATTAGGTTTAACAAACAAGAGTTGTCTGCTTATTTTTTTTATTGTATTTTTCCAATTTTCAAATAAGATGTATACTGGAACCAAAATTGTTTGTCTATGTATCACCCCGTCAGCTATATTGGCAAGCTTGTTGTGCCATTTGATCATGATGCCAAAATTTGGATAATGTTAGATGGCAGTTTGTCAAGCCCTAGCCAGTGGAGAATTTCCTCTGCCATAACATTTCTTCAGAGGTTTTTTTATGTTTTTTATCTGTAAAATCCATGTATTAATATCACTATAATTAAATAGAAGGAGTAACACAGAGAGTTGCTTGTGTTGGGTGTTCAGGATTCGCTGTAGCCATGTTGAATTAAAATTTGTCATGCCAAATTGCAATATATCAGGTTATTTGGCGTTTCACTGTGCTTCTTTAATGTTTGGGTGAGAAGTAAATATTCTGTCCAATTCTTTGTCACTTCAGCAACAGTTTGTATGTTAAACAGAAAGCAATTTTATAACAAGCAAATAACAAGAAAGAAATGTACGAATGTGGTTGTCCGTACCTGAATTGTACAATAGTTTGAGTCGCTTCAGGACAATAAAATATGTCCTGGTTGGGGTAGTTGAATTTTGGAGATGTCTTTTAAGACTGACAAAGTGGGGAAAAAAAAGAAAAAGCCTTGTGACCAAAGTCCAGAGAAAGAAGAAAGGGGATTGCTGCTGTTTCATACACACCCACAAGTGATTCTCATTTTGGCCATGAAAATAAACATGACATGCAGATTTTAACTTCCACAAGACACACAATGCAAGAGAAATTACATTGTTCTTCAACTTCACCTGAAGATTGTGTATAACATAAAACTGATAGTAATGGAAGTATAGCAGTACATGTTTGAAAAGTTCTTACTAGTATTACTATGTGCATGTGTGTGTGTGTGTGTGTGTGTGCACGCATGCATGTATGTGTATCAAACTATTTGAAACCATTTTATATATGATGTCAGTTATATGATACATTATACGTATTTTTAAATTTGAAATGTAATGTTCACAAAAAAAGTTAGGATGTATCTAACAAAACTTTTGTCTTTGATACTGACAATATTTAGTTCTAGTTAATGACCAAGACAATTGGAAGTAGTCAAATAAAAACTAACAAAAAAAAGAAGAAAAACCATGAATTTTGCACAGTTTATCCACAATTTTGATTTTGATATGAAACAACTGATTATAATAGGAAAAATACAAAAAAAATTATACAGACTGACCTTAACTGTTACAATCAGCATTTTATTTTTTTCCTATCCAAGGAATTTTATTGGAATGTATTCAAATATCTGCACCTTAAATAATCTGGCAAAAAGAATTTTACGAAACACTTGTGTAAGGATCTAGCTTTAAAATAGCTAGCTTTAAAAATTTGCTTGCATTAGAAAATATTAAATACCTTAAGCTGTTAGTGAATTATTTTCTTGTTTAACAAGTCAGCTGCATGTGAAACCTGATTAACTAATGAAAATCAAACAACACAAAAATAAAAATACCCTAATTTCTTTCTTTTTTTACTCCATAAATCATTCTCTGTTATTTTTAGTGGGTACATGTATTTGAATTGCTATTCCTGGGCTTTTTTGGTGGGGAGGGTAAACAGTGAAATTAATAACAACCAGCCTAGATTGAGAAATAAACAATAAATTGGCAAATAAATATTTTCTTTAATAAATTCTCAAATGTGCATGCAAAAAGACAAAATGAACACTGTTTTAAATAAACAAAACATCTACTCAAATATGGATATTCTCTATAGTCAATCTATCTTTCAATTTCCAATGCTAAAGCAAAGGAAATCTTTGATCTATTCTTTCTTTCTTGTTATAGGTTATTGTTACAAGCCTAATCAATCTTGCTCTAATAAGTGAACTCCAAATTTACCTTATTAACTGTTCCATATGTCTTAATAATTCATTTTGTTCAAGTTAAAGGTAGATAAGGTGATGTTCTTGAGGATAACATTCAACATGAAATTACTAATTTTAATCTTGACATTATACTGTTTTTATTAAAAGAATAACATACTTTTAATTCATAGTTCATTTGAAAATATTTCTTAATTATTCATTAGAAGTTGCATTTTTAATTAAATTTTACTTTTTTTTAAAACAAACATGGAAAGTTTACAACTAATTCTTTTTTATTTTATACCTGTACAAATTAAATCTAGGTGAAGCTACAAGGAATCTATATTTGGGGACAATGCTATTCATGAGGAAACACTAAGAAGTCAGCTTTAAAAATTCATAGATGGAAATTTGTCTGAAGAGTGGTCAGCTAAAAGCATAAATAATGAAGATTTGAATAATGTGATGGAAAATGACCCCAAAACTGCAGGAATAGAACTTATAACAAATTTCAAGGCATCAATTAAAACTATTTAAAAGCATTTAAAGAATGAGTAAGAAAAAACATGTATGAAATTGATCCATTTTTGCATTGTAACATCATTTAGAATAAGCTTTATAACAAAAGACCTTCACAGTGGCAGGATATGGAGAAGAAGCCAAAACATCTATCAATTCTATGTTATTCAAGAAAGGTAATAATGACAAAATAAGAGTATTTTCATGCAGAATAGCTTCCTGAAAATATCCAAAAAATTCACAATAACATGTAAACCAATTTGAAAAAATATATTAAAAATTCGATAATGCTCATTTTCCTGCATGGTAATAGATATTATCAAGTTGCAAAAATGCCAAAATAAATTTTAGTCAATTGAACAAAGAGATTTTAGCCTCTATTATGGATTGATATTTTTCCAAGTATTTAAATAATTTCTATACAGGCAAGAACTTTTCTAATGAGGCACAATATGAAGAAGCCTTCAAATAATTTATGTATTCTTCAAATGAATCATTTTAGAAGGGAATTGATGAACTGCTACCAAAAATAAAATATATGCAGAGGTCAAGGGTTGAACATTTTGACTGATTAAATAAATGTTTTTTATGAATTTTTCAATTTAATAAATCAACAATTTCACATAAAACAACCTGATATGGATTCAGTTGATATCTACCTCGATATGAAGGAAACCCAGTTCTGCCTGGTGTGGAATTCCTGAAATAAATTAAAGTATTAATTTTGATGAAAAAAAATTAAAAAGATTACAATCATTGTTGACTCTATGAAACAAGAGACAATAACTAAATTGATCGATTTGTTTTTTTTTTTTTACAGTTTATCAACCTTATACAGGTTATTTAATGCCAGAAAATATTTTTAGATTGTAAGAATTTTCTTTAGAGATAATAAAGTTCTACTAATTAACTCATAGATGAGGGAAGACAAGGTGGATCGTATTTGTGCATAAGTATATATAACAAACCTGACTGGAATTGTAACTCTGTTATCCAATTTCAAAATCCTGAACCATTATCCACTACACCAGCCAAATATCCAAACTTAAAGCACCTGCTATTGTTAAGAAATGACCTATCTAGGTACTGACCAGGCTCAACATTGCTTAACTTCAGTGATCATATGAGAACCAGTATTTCAACTTGATATGACCAAAAGCTGACAATAACTAAAAAATGACAAGCAAAAATAAAGAGAAAAAAGTTGTAGAGTTAATGATATTCTTGAACACAACAAAATCTATTAAACCTGATATTATTAAGTCTTTTATGCTTGATTTGTTTCTGTTTCAAATAACTGACCATAAGTGGGATGATTTTATTATAGTAACATAGCACTATCATCAACATTTGTCTATATTTCTGAGATGAGGTATTGTAACTATTTACATCATTTGGACTGCAGTCATCTTTATTGTTATATTCACAATGTAAGCTCTGGCCTTCTTCAGGTGATATGCATTAGAATTTCAAACCATACTCTTTATTTAGTCCATAGTGGGTAGATTGTTTTAGTTGCATTTGCCATGCCTTTTCTGGATATCTCAGTTTCAGTTACCTCCCTTTTGTAACTCAAATCTTCAAGTTTTTGTTCACTTCTGCTATAGCCAGGTATTGAACACAACTCTTTGGGTGAAGTCACTTTTTGGATTACTTCTGGGACATCAGTGAGTGAATTTTGGGGGACTTATAAAACTAATGTCTCAGTAACCATTTTTAACAGAGCTCATATTACAATTTTTGTTATTGTTGTTTTTCTCTTGCTCTCTGTATTACTGGTTCCCTTACTGTAGCTAAAGTTTATAAGTGCCAAAAATTCATTCACTGATGTCCCAGTGGATAAAAGTGTTGGGTGAAGTAATCCAAAAAGTGACTTGATACAAAAAGTTGTGAGTTCAATACCTGGCTACAGCAGAGGTAAACAAAAACTTGGAGAGTTGAGTTACTAAAGAGAATTAACTGGAAGTGAGATATCTAGAAAAGGCATGACATGTGGAACTAGAACAATCTACCCCAGTAGACTAAATAAGGGTTCGACTCTGTTGTAGTAAAGAAAAAACTGTCAACTGATAGTAGCAACTGCAACAGATTTCTTCTGTTTCTCGTCCGCAATGCTTGTAGCCAAATCACAGTTCAAATGATAGTCCGACGTAACAGTCCAACATATAACGTAGAAACGACAAAATGGGGTCACACATCCAACCCTCACTTCTCACCAACAACAACACGTGTTCATTCCACCAAACTCAAAAAAAAAATCATCTCCTTTTATAAGCGAAAAACGACTTCTGTTCACCGAGAGAATTTTCTGATTGGTCACGCCATTCAGGGGAGGGAAGAACATTAGCATAGTTTCTAGTCACTGATGTAGATTTTTGCTAACTACTTTTTGGTAATTTTTCTTCAGCAGATCACACACAAAACAAACTTTTTTTCTGGGGTGACTGATTATCTTTCACTACAGACTCAGAATTCCAACGTATATCAATGGAAGAAGGACAGAGTGTACAACAGCTGAAATGTTGTGAATATGACAATAAAGATGAGAACAGTCTGAACAATGTAAATAACTATCATCAATGTAATATATTGGCATATTAACACTTTAAATAATGGTATATAGAATGTGATGAAGATTAAGATACAATAGTTTATAAAATTAACAATGTCATTTTATGACATAGCTTATAAGAGATACTATCCAAAAGTTCATGGAATTTAACATTAAAAAAAAATTAATTATCTTAATACTTGTTTCCCCCTATCTACTGCAATTTCTGTGAAACTTTTTTTTTTTTGACTAATTTCTTCTTGATTGTTTTTTTTTTATCACAATGTTTTAGCCATTATGCTTTCTGGCTTTCTTTGGACATCTGCTATGATTTTTTCTGAAATTGTGACAAAAATGAAAAATTCAGCAAAGATAAGGAAATTAGTCCAAATGAAACAAAACACAATACATCAAAATTTAAAGGTGTTAGAATACCGCTCATAAAAGGTAGCATTAACAGTTTATACTACATTCTGTAATTTCTAAAGGGGTAATGGATTTTTTATTTTAATCTAAAATATTTTTATTACTTTAAACATTATTTTTAGTGGATACCAATAGTTGAGCAGAACATCCTGCTTTTTTAAAGTGTTTATTTTGTCTACCAGTCTGCACATTTGAAGAAACTTAATAAAGTAAATGTGCCCTCTGGTAAGATTTGAACCTGCATCCCCCTTCTTAGGAGGAACCAGCATATGGTCCAGTGTATTTTAGACCACTCAGCTACAGAGAGCCTCACAGCCAAGCAAAGTTCCTTGTGAGCACTGTACAGATTCTCAGAACATTTGGATAGCACTTAGTATATGTACCCAATCCTCTATTCTTGTGTGCCTAATAAGTTGTGGGGTTGAAATTTATTATGAGTTTTTAGTTTAAGGAGAAAGAAGTGTTAAAATAAGTTGGTACCACTAGTACCTTCTCTTTTAACACATTTGAGGTGATTGCTTAAAGTATAAAAAAAATTTACTGGGATCATAAGTGAACATAATTGATGAAAAAAGAAAAAAAATGAAAGTTGGCCTCTCCCCAACTTATTGGAGAGTAGATTTATAAGAAACCATTCTTGGTTTTAAAGGAAACTAATAAATGAAACTTACAGATATTCCATACAATTTATTTAATGATTAAATAGGTTATGCATTAGGAAAATACTTGTGCTAAAATAAATGAATATAATTAACCTTAATTGTCAGCAGAATTTTAATATTTGCAAAAAAAATAAATAAATAAAAGACAAATTCCAGCAAACTTTAACCTTTGTGCACACAAAAAAAAATACAGGTGTATGAAAAGGGCATTTTTCCCTTGACACCACTATTATTTGGTACTACCTTCACTTTCTTGGCAAAGTTCATTTATAAGATTATAAAATATGTGAACCAAGTACAATGTGATATTTATTATTTACCTTTTGTAAAGAAATAAATGTGAAAAGAAATCTTTTTATTCAAAAATTTATAAAAAATTATAAAATTATCAAAATATGTAAACCATCTACAGTGCAATATTTATTATTTACCATTTTATAAATAAATGAAAACAACTTTTTTATTCATAATTTTATAAAAATGTGAATGAATTAAAAAACAAATATTTATTTCTTTATAAACTGATAAATGATAAACATTGCATTGTATTAGTTGGTTCGCATTTTTAAAAACAATTATAAAATTATTCTTGTAAATAAACAAACTAAAAGTGTTTAATATTTTTGCTGTAAATTCTCAAAGAACAAAGAAAATGTTAAATTTACTCACATATGTTTGGGTTTTATTAAAATTTTGATCATTGCTTTCTAAAACAACAGATATTGCCAAGGGAGTTAAGGTAGTTAAATAATAGTGGTGTTTATATAATGAATATGCATATACCTGGGCTCCTCCTCACAGTAATATGATTGGCTGGTGTCAGCCATAAATACAGACTGATGTAGAGGTACATGGTCTATGCCTATTGGCTATGCCTATGCCTACACCTATTGCCTACTACTACGACGAGTTCCAGTCCATTATGGCTACCTGCTAGATTGTCCTACCTGGTTACAATAGCCAAAACCACTTAGCTACTTCGAACAAATATATCCCTTTCCAGGACATATCAGGTGTCAAGGGAAAAACTGTCCATTTAACACACCATTTTTTTTGCAAGCAGAAAGGTTAAAGATTGCCAAAATTCCTAATTACTCAATGATCCCAAGTGGAACATTATTTAACATTTTCATATGAATCAATAGAAATTGGATTAATTTTGGTAAAAAAAAACAAAAACACAAATGCAGCAAGTTGTAGTTCCAAAAGTCTTAGACTATAAAATGGCCCCGTTATGAAATATGAAGTATTGTTCTTACCGACTGCTAGCATTTAATCCCTGAAAAAGAGAAAAAAGAAATTTTAATTTAAAATAATCTAAGTTGCAGCCTAATCCATGTTTCCAGATAATTTAAAAAACATTGTCAATGAATTTTTTTTTTTGAGAATGTTAACCTCATCACTTTCATTATCAGGCAAAGTTTAACATTCATCTCCACAAAAAAAAACGTTTATTGAAAGGAAAGTTTTTCTCTTAACACAGCTATTACTGTATAATCCCTCAACAATTTTTATTGTTTTAAAAAGCTATGTTGAGAATGTTAATAAAACCAAAACATATGAAACTGAATTTATACATTATCTTTATTCTCAAGAATTACTAACAAAGGAATTAAATATTTTATTTCATTAGATTGTTTATTTATAAGAATAATTTAAATTTATGAAAATGGGAATCAAATACAATGCAATATTTATTATATTATCATTTGTAATTTATAATTTATCACATTTATAACGATAAAAACAAATATTTTATTCAGTGGAACAGCTACATTTAATTAATAGCTGCATCTACAAGGAAAGTTGGTTCATTGTGTCATGCCAGGTTTTTCTTGTCAGACTGCACATTTACAGATCTACCATTCAGCTGTGATATGAATACTGGTTTGGCACTCCTGTTATTCATCTTGAGGTTCTTGACAAAATCTAAAGAAGGATCTGCAATGTAATCGATCCTCACTTGGCATCTCAACTTCAGTCACTTTCTCACAGACATCATGTGGCTTCCCTCTGTCTTTTCTACAAGTATTTTCATGGCAACTGCTCTGATGAGCTTTTTTCTCTGGTGCACCGACTACATGAATTTAAGTGTGCTACTAGTTTAGCATCTAGGTCCCACCCTTTTACTGCTGAAATAGTTAAATGTAACTACCACTTCTACTCCAACAGTTTCTTTTCTCTCACTTCCCAACATTGGAACTCCTTTTCATTTACTTGCTTCTCTGAAAGCTACAATCTTCAAAAATTTAAATGCAACATCAATTGCCATCTTCTGTCATCTTGAACTCTGTCCATCTTTTATCCTTTCCTCAGTCCCCACTATACCCAGTCTTTTCTCTCACTTTCACTCTGTAACCCTCTGTGTACTAGTGGCATTTCTGCCTTGCTTGGGGTGAAATGAATAAAAAAAAATTTTAATTTAAATATCAATTTAAAAAAAAAATATCAAGAAGATAATGCATAAACACAGTTTTATGTTTGGATTTTATTAAAATTCTAACAGCTTTTTGAAACAATAAAAATTGCTGTGGAAGTATGCAATAATAGCAGTGTCAAGGGAAAAACCATTATTTGACACACTGTCTTTTAGCAGGTACTAATGTTAAAGTTTGTTCATTCTCATACATTATTCATATTGAGTAGGTGAAAACAGTTTTGTTATCATTTAAGAACTAAATTGATAAATATCTTTGTTCTATGAAATTAAATCAATATAATGTTGTTATATGCCAGGATAAACAAAAACAAATGAAAATAAAAGACAAAGTGTAAGACAAGTAAAAGACAGGTGTATTTTAACATATAATAAAGCAACCTTTATTCATTCACTGTCTGAGAATAGCAAGGATTGCATGTATTGAAACAATAAATTCCACATCTGTGTCAGCAGGTTGCCATGTTCAATTCAGGAGTGGCGCACTCGTCTTGATAAACAAGGGAAGTAACTCAACTGTATTTTGAGTTATCGTCATTTTTAGGACAACAAATTTAGCTTCCCCTAACAAGTGTAATTTATCAAAACAGGTTCATGCCATGATCAGTTATCTTAGTCTTAGTGGTAAGGATTGCAAAACCATGCCAGATGTGACATATACACTTACTCGTTATTCATTTAAATATAAAATAAATAGGTTTAGGTTTTGGTTAAGGAGTGTTTACAGATTGATTGCTATATTTATTGACATATTTTACATACATTTACAATTCAAAACGGCCACCCTTTGCTTTCAACATAGCTCTTAATCTCTTCTCAGCTGAAGTGCATGACTTCTTCACTACCTCTTTGCTCAAATTGTGTCATAAGAGCATCTTTCAGGTCTGACACACTTGAATATGAGATATGTGAAATAGTACTCTCCAATAGGGGCCATGTCATGAAGTCCATAGGATTAATGCCAGGGCTTGATGTAATTCAAATTGACTTCTAAAAAAAAATCCATGCAAACTGGCCATGTATGCACAAGCTGTCCTGAGTGAAGACATTAACTTCCAAATAGGGCTAACAACCAGGGCAACACCATCTTCTTCAATGAACACCAAGGGTGATTTTGAACCATCAGAAGCAACAGCTGCTCAAACCATGACACCAGTTGTTTTCTGTCACTCACAATGTGTTCTAACATCTTCAGGGATGTTTCCTAGTGAAGTAATGTAAACCCTATCATTTTGGCAGTTGATCAGACTCTACAGTGAAAAACTTCTAGTTTGATTAAACAAAGACTTTGTTTGCAGCACACTGCATCATGTTCAACATTTTCTTTCCTCTGTCAAGTCATTTTTTGCTTAGAGGCACACAAAAAACAGCTGTTGTCATTGAATCTTGTATGGTTTTAGCCCTAAATCCTTTTTTCAAAATCCTCCTTAGCAAGCTATCCAAAATATCAAGCTTTTTTGCCATTTTCCTGATGCTTCTTTGTGGATTTCTCTTCCCTGTCTTCTTGATGGTTTCAATGACTCTCTGGGTATGAACTGAATGGTTTCTTTCAGAAAGTTGTTTAATCCTCCTGAAACTTTTTCCACACATTAAAAACAGGTTTTTTTGCAAACATTTAACTGTTTTATCACCTCACAATTCTTTAAACCATTTTCAATTCAACAACTTGATCACATTTTATTTGTGCTGCCATATTTAATTAAACTAAGCAATAAAACAAGAATGTTAGGAAGCAATATGCAAAAGTTGAAACTATTTTTACGAACAGGTATGTTTCAATTTATGTTTAAAAGGCTTGGGTAAATCCTTCATGTTTTAGCAAAATGCACTAGGCTGTTTTGTTCTAAAGGGTGTTCCAATAACTTGAACGGATTTCAAGGTGAATTAAGTTTAAGCATCTAATGATTTTTTTCTTTTTCTTTCAGATTTGGCGAACATTTGGACGATATTATTTTTCACACATAATTGCCATGACTTAAATAACATGATCCAATAGAAAAATAAATAAATTTTCACCAACTCTGATTTATTTACTGCTGACTTTGATCCGTCTTAATGAAACACCCTTTATTTAGACAAAATTTAGTCTTACATAAATTTATAAAAGATGAGGAATTATTATTATTATTATTATAGACAAGATGAGGACACTAGTTCAAACAAACTAAATCTACTGTTCTGCAGCAAGTGTTATTCATTATCTACATAGTAAGCATTTTATTTGCACTATTTACATTGTTTGGATTACTGTTCTTGTCTTTTTTGTCATATTCATGTTTTAGCCATTGTACGTTCTGGCCTTTTTGGAATTTTTAACTGAACCCTTTATTTCATGAACTGGAGTAGATGGTTCTAGTTCCACATGCCATGCCCTTTTCTGAATATCTCAGTTTCAGTTACCTCAAGTTACCAAGTTTTTGTTCACTTCCGCTGTGGCCAGGTTTTGAACTCTTCGGGTCAAGTCACTGGATTACTTCAAACAACACTTTTATCCACTGGGCCAGGAGTTGTGGGTTCAATACTTGGCCACAGAAGTGAAAAAAAATATGGCAAGTTGAATTACTAAAGGGAAATAACTGAAACTGAGATATCCAGAAAAGGCATGGCACATGGAACTAGAAAAATCTATCCCGGTGGACAAAATGAAGGGTTCAGTTTGAAATTACAATGTATATTGCCTGAAGAATGGCTGAAACATCATGAATATGACAATAAAGATGAGGACAATAGTCTAAAGAGTGTAAATAGTTATAATACCTCATCGCAGAAATATAGACAAATAAGGATCTTGTCTTTAATTAGTGTTATAATATACATTGTTTTGTATATCTTTAACCCTTTAGAATTCAATATGTTCAAATTCACCAGATAAGTTTCACTGTTTGCATGACTTCTTGCATTATTTGTGATGATGTCATTGTATATTATGTCAGAGTATACATGAGGCAGATTACAACAGGTTGAACTTTGAGAGCTGATATTTACAGGGCGGGTTTGGGTTGGTAAAGGTTTAAACATTTATGATGAAAAAACATCTGTACAAATTATTTTTCTGTAAGTTTCAGGTTTAAAAACTTGACGAAAACTGCATTTTTATCAATGCTGAAGAATAGGATTTGAATTGTGTTGTTGAAGCTGTTAAGGGATGTAAGCAAGTAAAAAATAACATCATCTGAATAAACAGTTAAAGTCATGTATCAGAAGTTTAAAAATAATTTTTTATAAAAATGGTTAAATGATATGCAATTCATGTGTAAAAATATTCAATCAACTCACTTTCTCTGAGACCAAGCGTTTTAAATAAAGATTCTCTTCCTTCAATTTTGCAATATCACTGTCAAAGAAAAAATAATAGAAACTGAAACAGTTAAATATTGGTTAATGACAAAGATATCTTAGATTTATTCTTTAATTCATAATTAATAATAAAATTTTCTTTTATTAATCTAAAAGATTTTTGAAAACAAACTTGGTAGTATGCATTTTCTGGCAACAAAAAATAGCGTGTCAAAAGGATGGTTTTTCCCTTGACACTACTAATATTTTAACTACCTTTACTCCCTGGCAATGCTTATTGTTCTAAAAAAAAAAAAAAAAAAAAAAAAAAAAAAAAATGAATTATAATAAAATCTAAACATGATGAAAGTGGATTTATACATTTTCTTTGTCTTGAAAATTTACAAAAAAAAAACAAATAAACAAACACTATTTCTTTATTAGATTGTTTATTTACAAGAATAATTTTATATTTAAAATATTCTAAAAATAATACAATTAAAACTAATGCAATATTTATCATTTACCAATTTATAAAGAAATAAATATGAAAACAATTTTCTATTCATAAATTTATAAACATTAAACTAAATTATAAAAATATGTGAACTATAAGGAAATCCTTATTTACCAATTTATAGAATTTGAATCAAATGGCAATTAGCTGAAGTTTTGCCAACCATTCCAATAAAGACTAATAAATGAATAATGTTTAATATTGTAGAGTGAGTGACCATAGTTAAATGTAAATAAATGATAGAACTGCCTAACAAACAGAGTTGACAAATTTTGCAATAAACAATAAGAAGAAAAAGAACAGGGCCAAAGAAATAATATAAAGCAAGCAAAAAAATATATGCAAAACAAATTAACAGTAATAAGGCAAAGCAATAGTAATATGGCAAAAAGTTCACAAACTAAGAATTGGGGTTGACACACAAGAAGAAGTTCAGATATGTGATTGTAGAGTTCTGACTTTAAGACAAGACGGACCGAGACTGAGTGATATGAAACCGAGAATTGGCCTATTTTATTGGCTAGGAAGAAATCCCAACATGCATTTGTCTGCTTCTTCCTATAAATTGGAGAGAGAGGAAAGTGTTTTGAAGTCATTTCCAACAGGATTGGAACTAACAAATATTTTGTTGTTTCAAGTAGATGACATATTTGATTTTAGTTCAGAATGTTTAAATCTTAGAATTTTTTTTATAAAGCAGTGATCTTCATTTTCTAGATATTATAACTTCTAAATAGTTTCATAAACTTAAATATCAATATGACAGATTCGTATTTATTTTGACTGTTTTATTGTTATAATGTTGGTTATAAAAAAAATCTGTTTTTTTACTACCATTGTGTTGAAATATATGTTAATTTGGTTTGCAATAAATAGTCAAATAGTGGTATTTCTTAAAGAATATTTTTAATTTATTTAAAGAACTTGCAATAAATCTACTTCAAGCCATGTAAATATTGCTAAAATATATCAAGAGTAAAAAATATTCAAGACTGGTGCAGGCGAGTTATAGGGTGTCTCTATCAGGCTTCATAATTTCATAAGCCTAGGGACTTAGGCATAAGCCTTGATTTTTGTGGCAATGACTGAAGGAAGTGAGCTATTTCTTATGGTCCACTATAAATTTCAACCTTGAAGCATATAGGCTATGTATAAAGAAATACTATTAGAAAACAAATCCTAAAAGGTAAATTGTTAATAAAGACAGTGCTATTTACTAACAAACATATGAAAAGCCAGAACTGTTCTTTATGTGTTAACAGATGATTAAAAATGTAAGAAAAATGGTTACACTAAAAAAAGCATATATAAATAAAATCCATGTAAATAATCTGGAAAACCTGAACTAATATTTTACACAATTTAAAAAAAAAAATAAATTATTTTTAAATATGTTTTATTTGATTGAAGGCTTTCAGCTTAATTTATGTCACAATCTGGTTGTTATTTAGGATGGACAATATTAGACATCTGATATCTGGGAATAACACTTGATAAAATACAACTATGCTAACAGAAAAAAAATCACAATTACTAATAAACAGAATTGGCCCTTAAGCTCAATGACAAGTCACTTCCTTATTATAGAATTCACATTATAAATATTTACAAATAAGTAAGGGAGACTACTCTGCAATTAGCCAAAATCCAATTGCATTTAAAATTTAAAGTCAAATTATATTTCTACTAATCCCTAATCAGCAGATTAGAAAATTTATTTTTTTGTAATAAAATGAGGAAATGTTTCCGATGGAAGATGGGAATAAAGAAATGAGAATATTAATTTATCATCATATTTTTTGCATTTTTCTAGGGATTAAGACAGATTATATTAAGACCCAGTAGCCATTCCTTCTGCATAAGATTGCTTAGATTTAATATACAGGGTCTCAAGCACTCTCAAATGGTAGTCTGAATGTGCACTGCTGACAACTGAGAAAAAATCTCCAGCAAAAGAGTAGGCACATATCAGATTACACATTAGGTGCCTGTAATTGCAGAACTGGAAGTATCAGAGGTTGGAGAGGAGTACACATCAGCATATACTAGCTAAGATCTGTAGAAGGCAGTATAAAAATGTGCATATTCTTGTCAATATGTCTGATACTGCAATTATGGAACATCTAACAAGTAATCTGATTTTAATTTTAATAAAACAAATTAGTATTATTTTGAATCATACCACTATGTAAAATACATACATCAACAAACAAAAAAAAATCTTAAATTTGATTAAAAATGTGTTTTTCTGAATTCTGCAACACACTAACCGTTGTAATACTTGTCGAGCCATGAGTGCTTGTTTCACCTGGGAAATATAAGCATTTTGTTTGGAAACCTAAAAAAAAGGCAAAAACAGTTTTATCTAATCAGGTATTTGTAATATAAACTAGACATTTAACTAATATTTAATAATAATAATAATAATAATGTATAACACACAGGCATATTTGGTTTTCTTTTGCAGGAAAAAGAATTCATTTACTTACAAGATAAATGGAAAAGAATGAAAGAAATGTGTCAGAAAGCACTTACTTTCAGAGAAATTCAAATGTGTTTGTAACGGAATAACATAACACTAAGATATTTATTTAACAAGTATGTTATTTCTCTTATTTTTCAAATATTGGATTAGCTAAAATGTTTATCCTGTATTTGTATTTTTTAAATGGTTTTAGAAGCATTTAGTTTTAACTTTATTTAAAAATTGTACTGCAACAGATGTCGCATTAGCAGGCATTTTTGTCAAAATATTGAAAATGAAAGAAAATAAGCAACATTTTCAGCAATATTATACTTTTTTTTTTTAATTTTAAATTTCAATTCCCCAGAAATCTACAAAAGGCAGCTAGAGTAGTTCATTTTTTGAGAAAGATAAAAAATTTGTCAAGGAAGGAATTATGAAGTTTCTGAATGATGGCAGACAAGGAGTTATCATTATTTACAATATTTACATGTGGATTGTTTTCCTCATCTTTGTTGTTGTTATCACAACGTTTCGGCTGTTGTACTCTCTGGCCTTCATCAGGTGTATGCTTATCCAGATAACCTACAGGGAACTCCAAACTGAACCCTGGATTTAATTTACAGGGATAGACAGGTCTGCTTCCACTACCCATATATACGGATGTCTCATTTAGTTCTTATTTTTAGTACTGCTTAGTTATTCCTCGCCCTGTTACTGCTGAGTCCAAGTACATACTGCCCAGCTCAGGGAGTTAACTCACAATTACTATGACACTGAATTCATGAACCAAGGCTTTAATTCACTAGGCAATTGTCCTGTGGAGAATTTGGAGCCTTAATCTGTCTGCTGATGAGTGCTGCTGCTGCTTGTCATGCTTGACTGCACTCACTGAAGCTTTTCTATTTTGTTACAGCTGCTGCTTCTGTTGAAGATTTGCTGTCATTTGTCTTTCTTTATTAGCAGGTCTCATATTGGGCTCCCCTGTAGGTTACTTGGATTGGCATACACCTGCAGAGGGCACAATGGCTGAAACAACAAATAAGATGAAGACAATAGTCCTCATGTAAATAGTGTAAACAGTAAATATGTTAATAAAGTTTATATTGAAATTAAAAACATTATTATTTATATTTACTTAAAGCAACAAAAAAATATCCAATAATTCATGAGACCCATTTTGACAATAGGCTTCAAAGTTATTGTCAAGAAAAAAAAAAAACAAAAAAACTATTTTCAATTTTATTGATTTTTTGCATATTGTTCTGAATTTTGCTGTTACTTTGTACTTTGGTTTTAACTATTAATAAGCATTAAAAGGTGGGTGGGTATGCATATATATATAATGAATATATAATATTGCACATTGAGTGTTGGTGCTAATAAAATTATATAATAGCCAGTTTTCAACCAGCACCTTAAGATTGTGCTACTGGCGGGGAAAAATGTATATTTATTATTAACTACCCAAATTACTAGTTGAATTTTTTTTTTCCCTGTGATATAAATTAAATTCAAATTTGAACAAGGGAATGACTCTTAAGGTACTTCGATAAGTATATTTCATTTTGATCAAAGGGGATCTCCCAAGGGGCACGAACCCCTCCACTGGAAATTTTTTTCCAATTTCTTACAAAAAAATTTTTCGTGACACTTGCAGTTTATATTGAAATGTTCAAGATAGAAAGCAGCTCAACTTTTAAATATAAATTTTGAAATCCAATTTATCAAGATGTTAAACTCAACCTATCTCATTCAGCTTCTTATTGCTTTTATTTTTATCAATATTGTTTTGAACTAGATGTGAATTTCTGGAAACAATTCTAGTTGTTATATAATAATACAGTTGGGATTTTTTTATCCAAACTCTAAAAACTATGTACTTTTGGTTTAAAAAAGTAAAAGGTATGTGTGTGTGTATATATATAATATATATATATTACTCACATATTAATTGAGTTATCTGAGCCACTGTCATATTTCGTATGGAGAAAAACATTAAAATTCCCTTCCTTTCTGGCATGTGACAATGGCCTAGTGGTAAGATATCTGACTGATGTCAAATCAGTCCAGTTTTGATCTTGGCTTGAAGCAATCGGATATCTAGTCACACTGAGGAGCTGTGATACAGTGAAACATTCTGTCTGTGGATGACTATATATATATATGGGCTGAGTGCTTAGAATGTTTGCTTTCTGACAATGAGACCTGGGTTCGAATCTCACCATGGTTGATTTGTCAGGAAGTTGACTTCTTGACGTTATTGGTCTGCTATTGTGTGCAACCTTTGAAAAGGTTCCTGAAAACTATACCATGGGTTGACCCAAGCCTTGTGAGTGAAATTGGGTAGGTGGAACTCATTGATAGTGGCCAAAGGATGTGCTAACATAAAATCACAAGGCTGTGAGAGTGCTGGCCTTGTTCAAACTGTTGACCACCCTAGATAATATGCTCTCTCCAAGAAACTGTAACTAAGGTCTGATCAGTGTAGTTACTGTATAAAGCACAGGTTGGTTCTGTGGGTGTTGAATAAACAAAAATGTGCCTGAGCAAGTGTCTGCAACAGGGATTGGCTAGCCGCCCTAGTAGATGAGTATCCTCAGATACTAGTGACCAACCATCTTTATATATATATATGTGACACTATTTGACACTGGGAAATGGAAAGAAAGAGGTTAAATCCAAAAACATAGCTCAGAATGAGATGAGAAGGGTTAATGAATAGAACGATGGAGAGATTAAGAGAAAGAGTAAAACTAATTTTCTGAAACCAAGTTTTCAAGACTAATGAAGCACTGTACAAACAGAATGTATATAAAAGCATTTACTTTTATTCAAGTTATCTTTTTTTTCACTTATGACTTCATTCTGCCTGCACAAATCTAAAATGACAATTCCCATCAACGATTCAATCTTTACCAACCCTAGGATCAAAATCAAACACAACATGGGATAAGACAAGGCTTGAGTCGAAATGGTCAACTCAACTGATCAGCTATGAGGATTGGACTGACTGGCTGAGAAGAAGGCTACATATATATTAGGTATCTTCAATAACTTGCAAAAAAAAAAAAAAAAAAAATAGCATGATGAAAAAAAGGCTCCAAACTTACTAAAAACAAAATTTTATTGTCAAAATATTTGTTATTATTAAGAAGAAAGACCTAAGTATTTTTTAATTATTTAAAAAATTTTTTTAATCCTTTCCAGCATCTTTGAAATTTTAGTTAAAAATTTTGTTTATTTTTATGTTAGCAGTCACATAATATTTACTATTAGTTTTTTTGTGCCTTTTTTCAGCTGAAAAATACATTAATTCTGAAATTCTTGCAAAAATCAAATAATTGTCAGAATTTTAGAAAAACTTTCAGAACTTATTCACAGATGAATGAAATTATTTTAGAAATGTTTGTTTTTCAGAAAGTCATGGTAAATTTTTTTTTTTTTACATGTTACCCTACTTAATTTTATGAAAACTTGAAAATTTGACTTTGTGTAATTTTGTGATTATATTAGTTAAAAGCAGAAGACTTTGAAAAATATAAATCATCAATTTTTTTTGTAAATCGAAATGCGTATTTACCTAAAATTCAGCTCTGAATTGTAAAATACAAAACCCAATAAAATTAAGACATTATTTAATTAGAAACGGTTTTAATGGCTTTTATGAATAATATGTAAGGGCACTATTGTCTGAAACCAAAATATTTTTAAGTTGAAAAATGAATTTTTACAAGAATTGTTTTCCTTTTTTTCAATTTTAAATACAAAATGTGATAAAGTTGTTAAATATTTTAAAATTAAGTCTGAATCCGTGTCTTTTTGTAAATGCTGTTATTAAAAAGATCTATTTTTACAGATCATAAATTTGAAAGTTAATTACAATCTGCAATATGAAAATATTTTTTATATGCAAAAAAATGCATAAAAAGTCTTTTCTACAAAACTATGGATGCACAGTTGAGAAATAATAGGTCATGTTTTTTAAGAGTTTTTTTCCTGATAGTGAGGATTAAGCCTCAGAAATTGCTTTGCTTTCTCTCTGGCTAGCATGGGTCAAATTCTCTGACTGACTATCATCGTCGCATTTGCAAAATTTTTAATTTTCTTTTTTACATCCTATTTCACTAAGTATTTTATTTTCAGTTTTTAAATATAATTTATTAGTTTTCAGTGAAAGACATACTGCAATTATTAATTATTTTCTTTTTTAGATTAAACTTTAGGGACAGGAACAGTGTTTTGGACATATCTTCATTGAAAAAAAGTACTAAAAAAAAAAAATATAAAAATATTTGACTTTCGAAAGTATTTAATTTTTAAAAATTACTGTATAGTTAATAAGCTGGTTTGCTTAAAATTTGGAAATATTGTCATTTCTGCCCTTCCATCTGATAAATTCCCCAGACGTTAGTTGTTGATACATTGACATAAACATCAATTCCCACCTCCAAAACAAATCACCACGTTTAGACATGGATCTCTTATTTTCAACTAAATTTTTTTCTGCTAAAAAATTAAATAATGTTTGTTTCCAATTACATTAATTTTCCACAAATAACTTTTGCAAAGGTATAATTGATTTTAAACAGAGAATTTAACTTTTGTATACAAAATTGTCAAAAATGGAGGACATGATTGATTTTATGGTAATTTTAACTAAAATTTTGAACATGCGAGGAAAGATTAACAAATCAAAAAAATAATCAAAAAAATACTTTGGTCCTTCCTCTTAATAATAACAAACAAGATATTTAGAAAATAAAAAAATTTTTTATCAAGTTTAGAGCCTTTTTCATCAGGATATGCTCTTTTTTAGCAAAGTAGTGAAGATACCTAATAATATATATATATATATATATATATATATATATATATATATATATATATATATATTATATTATATTATATATATAAAAAGGTTGATCAGAAGAACTTGAAGTATATGAAATCATTTATATATTTAGGAGGTAAGATGAATGCAAATGCATTCCTTGATGACAAATTGGATTGCCAAAGCTACAAGTGCATTTGGGAAGTTTCAACACCACCTATGGAATTAGAGAAGTATCAAATTGGACATCAAAATACAGGTTTATAAAGAGGCCATTTTGACCACACTATTGTATGGTTTAGAATTGTGGGCCTCATATAGGTCCCATATCAATCAGCTGGATGTCTTCCACAAAAGTTGTCCCCGCGCGATCCATGGCTATACTTTTGATGATAGGGTGACCAGTGCTGATCTTCTTGCAAAAGGCAACTGGTGGAATGCAATCATAGCTTCATTGGGCTGGTCATGTTGCAAGGAAAAGGTCCTCATGTATAGCCAAGATGGCTAGAGTAGCGTAGCCTATTTGTGCGAGCGAATTGCTAGTGAAGCAGACCGTCTGAGCATCAGTGCTGGAATGACGAGGCACATGTGTCACTGAGTCAGATCAAGGCTGGCAGTGTGTCCAATATGCAAATTCTCTGAATTGTCAATAATGTATAAAAAAGGCTAGTTTTTGTTGAGTTGGCAGACCAAATTTGTGCATTCAGTGTAGTTCACATTGATGCGTACTAAACCAGAATTCATTGTGAGGGTGTTTCCAATGTCTGTATTACAGGTTTCCTTCTACACTTGTATTAAGTAAAGTTTAGTAAAATGAAAAAATTGTAATGTCATCGGTCCTGACCTGGTATCCCAGCTTCAGTCTTCCTCCCATCACCATAACATAGCTTTCCTGTACTTTTTCTATAAATATTTTCATGGTAATTGTTCTAATGAACTTTCCTCTCTGATACCTCAGCTTTACTAATTTAAGTGCAGTACTAAATAGGTGGCAAAGTTTCATTATTTTACAGTTGAAATGGCTAGAAATAACCCTAAGTTCTATGCTAACATTTTCTTCTATCACACTCCTCACTTGTGTAACTCTGTTCCAGCTTCTTGCTTTCCAGTCAATTTTGATCTTCAAAAATTTAAATGCAATGTCAATCATTATCTTTTGTCTCCTTAATTCCTAATCTTTTATTGTTCTCTCTTTAATATTATTTTTCTTTTCCTCATATTTTTCCACCCTCAGTAACCCCTTGTGTCTTAGTGGCTTTAGTGCCTTCCTTGGGATGAAATAATTAAAAAAAATTATAGAAATATTTCAGTCACAGAGATAGAAAACAATCTTTTGATGGAAGTATAATTTAGCTGACAAAAAACAGTAAATAAATCTATACCTTATCTTTCAAATAAGTCACAAATCTGCGCCTGTGATTCTTCTGAAACTCCATCACCTATCCAATAAATTCAAATTATTAATACATTGGTTAGAAAAGAATGGCATATCTGTTTTGGCATAAAAATCATTAAAAAAACAAAAAGAAAAAAAAAAAGATATAAAACCAAACATATCAGGTCATTCTACGTAAAGTGCAAATTTAGAGTCTGAAAAGATATTTTAAAAATTTGTTTAATTAGAATTTATTAATTAATATAGACCCCCATCATTATCAATAATCTCTTTTCAATAACTAACATGATTCATAATATGGGACAATATCCTAGTGTTAAGGAATTTGGTAAAATAGTATTTTTGAGTTCAATCCCTGGGCTGGGTAGTACAGTCCAAAAGTCAGTGGAAATAGGACTAGCAAAATGAGATATCCCTTGACATGGAAAGTGGAATGAGAACACTTTATGTCCATAGATTAAATAAATGGTTCCATTTAAAATTCTCTGAAAGTTATCTAGATCAATAAATCTGAATAAAGTTGAAGAGCACTATGGCCAAAACACTGACATACAAACAACAAAGATGAAGAGATTAGTCAAACTGTAAATAATTCATCAAAAAAAAACATTTAGTCAATGGAGAGAACAATTTACAAGTCATGCATTTTATGAATTAGTTCATCAAAATGATTTTGTCATTTCTGAAAAGTGCGGTAATCAGATAGAACAAGATCTGTAGAATAAGGAGAGTGTGGAATTTTGTTAGCAGTTGACGTAGTTAATCCTTTCAGCTGTCATCTGTGCCTTATGAGGCTATGCATTATCATGATGGAACACCACACCCTTCAGTTCAAACTGGGTCTGTTTTTTGCTAAAACAATATTGAAATGCTGTAAATGTTAACAATTTATGTCTGCTGTTGTTTGGTTGGCTGTTTTTGTTTAGCAGCATATCAACACCTCTATGGGTTATTTCATGTCAAAATCTAAATATTTTGTATGCAATTTTATTTTATTTTTGGAGATAATAATGGTTTAGTGATAAAAGTCTCACTAATTAACCCATATCTGGGGAGAGAAGAGATGGATTCATACCTTTCCCAACAGTATTTGCACATAAGTGAATATAACGAACCCAAATGGAATAGGAACCCAGCTTAACAATTCTGGGCCATTATCCATTATACCACACACAAATCCAAGCTTATAGTACCTGGTATTCCCAAGCGGTCACCCATCTAGATACTGACCAGGTGTGATGTTGCTTAACTTTGGTGATACAGGAACCAGTTTAACATGATGTGGCCATAAGCCTCATTTCGTAATGATTGCACAGACACTCCTGACTCTTTCTTTCCAGTCTTCATGGGAATTAATTCCAGTATTTCAATGTGCTGTGGCCATGTATATGTTTGTTGTAATTATAATACTGTTTTATAACAACTCAAAGTACCCTACATTAACAATCCCACCAAACACTTACTTTACAAAAATGGAAATCCATTTTGGATTGTTCTTCAGTGTTTGCCATTACTAAACAATTGTCTACATTGTTTTATATTCTAGTGATATATCTATTTTTTATCACCAGTCACTGACCTGCCCAAAATTGTGAGTAGTATTCTTTTTTCTTCTTCATACCTCCTTCCTTTCTATTACACTCAATGTCATGCTTTTCAATCGTCATGTGCCAGTAAATTTATTTTTGAAAAATAATTATGTAGCGTTCTTCGTGGTTTTTTTTTTTTTAAATAAAGCGTTAAGGTGGTCATTTTTTAAAATATCACCTGAAGAGGCAATCAGGTCGAAACAAAAGTCATGTATTTTAACTGACCTCCTGATTTTTAAAGTTATATATAACAACTGCTTGCATATGGATGGAAAATGAATTCAGTAAATATACAAAAATAGATGTGAAAGTCTTCTCACCTGACTTATTCAATGCATACAATGAGGTAATTCTGAGAGAATTAAAAGTCCTACCAGGATTCATTATTTGTGCCCACAATCTTAACAACATAAGATAAGCAGATGCCAGATAGCAGACATGGAAAGAAAACTACAAAAACTCATACAGTAGGTAGTAAAGGAAAGCAAGAAGAAAGGACTAAACAGCACTTGCAAGAAGACAGAATGCATAGATGTTAGTAAATGAACAGCCCAGCATGCAAATTACAAATTGAAGAGATTAAAATCAAACAAGACAAATATCAAAATATCTGGGAAGTGTTTTAACAGAGGACAGAAAGTGTGACACTAAAATCCAAAGGCACATTGGAATAGTGAAAGATGCCTTCCAAAAGCTAAGCAAAATATTAAGAGTACTGAACAGTTATATAATATCAAAATTCCTATATGGTAGTGAATGCTGGGCAATCTTTTCACAAATTCAGAAGAGGCTTGAAGGAACAGAAATATGGTTCTACAGAAGGATGCTCAGAATACCATGGACTGAACATGTGAACAATGGTAAAGTTTTAGAGAAAATGGAAATGAAAAGAACAGTTATACTAAACATCAGAAACAGAGGGTTGAAATTTCTAGGTATGTAATGAGGAAAGAGGGCTTGGAAAATTTGACACTCATAGGACATATTGAAAGCATGAGGGACAGAGGAAAACAGTGCATGATTTATCTAGGAAGCTTGAGTGAATGGCAGAGCAAGTTTTAGTACAGATAGCAAAAAAGACAAAATTTATTAAGAGCTACAGGGAAAGGAGTTGACCATAGTTGTAATCAATGAGTAAATGCGAACAATCCCTTTCTTAGCTGCATAGCATGTGCTTTGCCAGGGTTACATACAGTTTTGAATTCAGAGTTTTCCATCTCCTAGACCAGTTGTCACCCAACGCTATAGAACTCAGTTTGTCCTACTATTTACCCATAGCTGTGCCGAGAAGAGTTGGATTCATACCTTTCCCAAGAGTATTAGCAATGAACTCGACTGAAATTTGAACATGGCTCTCTGATTTCTCAATCTGAGCTGCAACCCATAACTCTACCATACCTCTTACAAAGACAGGAAATTGTGGAGAACCATGACTGTCAACGTCCTAAAGGGACACATCACATAGAAGAAGAAAGAGTACAAATTTGTACTTTAACTGGGCCATAATACAGAGAAGAAACTAGAGCAATATTTCTATATATGTTTGCATACCTATTTCAATAGCATTTGGTACATAAAAAAATCTATGGTTTACAACATTTTTTGGTTGACAGTTCTTTTCTATATTCTTATAAGTTACCTATAGAAGATTCTATATCGATATGCCTAGAAGTTAACAGTCAGATTTTGGGGCCAATACATCATGCAACTCTCTAACCAGAGAGACTATATAAGTATCACAGCAGTGGCTGTTAAAGTCACAATATTACAAATAAACTTCTAATAATTGTTATAAACTTTAAAACTAATTTATTTTCATCTTGATACAGTGTCAGTGATTTTTACAGAATTATCTGGACTTAGTGTCTTTTATTTACAAATGTCAAGTCTGAAACTGTGTTTAAGACATTGATATCTACACATTTCATATTTTGTTCTTTACTTAAAAGGAATCTTTTTGTAAAAAATGTAAAAAAAAATCCACCTGACAAACAATTGCATGTCTAAAATTGTTCTTTACTTAAAAGAATTTTTTTTAAATAAAAAAAAAAACGTTTTTTTTTGTATGCAGTTATCAATGACATAAGCACATCAAACTTGACATTTGTAAATAAAAATAAAAGTCTAGATAACTCTATAAGAGTCAGGGATTGATTTTACACAATACCAATATTAGGAATAGGACCTCACTTCTAAAATGATCAAATATCAATATTTTTTTTATTCTGCTAAAGCAATAGTTCCCAAACATTTTTTTCTCCTGGTCACATTTTCAGAATGAAAATTTGATCGTGCCTCACCAAATTTTATGTGATAAAAAGTACATTCAAATAATAATAAAAAAAAAAAGAGTTAAAGGGAGATAACTGCAGATTCGAAATCAGAACTATATCATTCATAACTCCCTTCTCCAATTTGCAAAGCTTAGTTACTACATTCTTAATACTTGATATAATGCAAAAATATCACAGTAATAAAATCAGTCAATAATTATTTATAACTATTTATACTTAGATTCATACATGCGAGTAATCCGTAATATTTTAAATTTTGAAATCGTATTTATTTTTGGCATAGGGATTTTTTTAAACTGTTTCTAAATCTTTATCTCTATCTATAAAAGGCAGGATGTGTGTGTGTGTGTGTGTGTGTGTGTGTGTGTGTGTGTGTGTGTGTGTAATGAATGCACGGCCGCAATTTTCGACGGATTTGCACCAAAATTTACATGCACATGCTCCAAGCTAGTGGGAAGGCCAAGACTGACTTTGGATTTCCCAACTCCCATTGATAGTAAAAATAATCAATTTTTTCATGCTTCTATGGCAGTTTTCATATAGTTTGTAGCCATTTTCTACTGGCCAGAGTGAGAGCCTATAGCTGGCTGCTACGAATAGGCAGGAAGAATATATTGGCCAACGTGAGAGCCAACAGCTGACTGACACGAATGTTAACTAGCATGCTAGCATGCAAAAAAAAAAAAAAAAAAAAAAAAAATCGATAACTGCGTTTGTCACAAGTGGGAAAAATTCAAATCTGCATGGCACTTTACTCCAATTGGCTCATTCGCTTACTTAAACTCAACGTTGATTCTGATTCCACAGAACTGGTTTGGGTGTGAAAAAGTATTTGTTGTTAACATACTTTTTTTCATTCGGGTTTTTCCAGTTATGAGTCCTTTTTTAAAACTGATCGTTTTGTGTTCATTTTGTTTAGTTCTTTTTTTGTAACAGATTTAATGTTTAGTATAGAGCTTAGAAAAAAATTGCAGTGGGAGATAGGCAAGAAGTTAGGCATGTAGCAACATCAGCACGGCAAAGGGCACTCCTTTAAAGGCAAGGAAGGGCAAAAATATTTTAAGTCAAGTGATAGCAATTGCTGTATGAGTCGTACGATTTTTGAATCAAGCACAGGCAATGCTGGGTATGCTGCTAGTCTTTCAATAATTTCACCTCACCTGCTTTCCTCTTCAGCTGCACTTATGAGGCATATTGCACCTTTTGGAAACCACTGTAAGGTCTTGAGTAAGGTCTAATGAATGCTAATCTACAAAAATTATTTCAAAAACAGGTTTTCCCTATTTTTATGCAAGTGGAACAGTCAAATAAAGGGCCAGAGAAGATGAGACTTATTTTAACAATAGTTGTTTTTATTTTACCTTTTAGGAATTAGAAAGTCACATATGTTTTTTTTCCTTTTGACTGCAAGTTATTTTTTCATAAGGAATAATTTCATTTTAAATATTTGAGAAAATGAATATGTATCTGATATCGAGAAAACTCATACATTTTAGTAAATTTCATTCTGCACAATTTACATAATAAAAAGGAAGTGTATGGAGCTGGCATACATTTTCAGTGATTGATGAGTCTTTTGATCTTATGCCACTTTCTGGTTTATTTATTTGGTTTATATTGTTTTACGTAATATCAACCTCAGTAGGTTATTTAATTCCGACAAGATTTTTAAGATAGGTTTGTCTGAATAGCATATGTTTTCTTTGTAAGAAATCAGTTTGTAGATTAGGTTTTATTGATGTATTTTTGTAAAGAGGGTTTTTGTTGAGAGTTAAATGTATTGATGATAATATTTTTTTTCAAAAATGTATTGCTGTTTTTTTTTACTATAAAAATATATTTTGATACTTTCATAGTATTTTCACTCCAGTTTTGGGGTTAACTATTTGCCCATCGCTGGGATCATAACTGGTGCTACTTCCCTCAGTTAGGGTGGACCTGGGAACAATAGCAATTAAGAAGTGGTTCTAGTCTCATCAAACAGCCTGATCAGAGGCCTTGCTGCCAGATGTAGCTTATCATCATACCCAGGACCTGTGCCTCTTTTTAAGGTAAAGGGAGTTACCTGAAACATTTATGTGAAGACAATCTAGAATTTCTAAGTTGACTTTAGCAAAATTTTGTAGTTGTTTTTAAGGATCAAAATTTTTTAATTTACTCAAACCAACAGTAATTGGTTGAAAATTCTCTTTTTATACCTTCTAAGTTGTTTACCACATCTTAGTTTTTTTTTTTTTCACATGTGCAAATTTCTGATCAGATTTTAAATTTTATATTCATAGGTTTCCTTGGAAACTACTGTTTTAAGAGATGCAGATATTGATCCGCTTTTTGTGTAGCATTTTGACAAGCTTCTGGGATGGACACACTAGCTATTTTTATTATTAAGTCTGAATATTACCTCACAATCACTCAGTTCTATAACTAAGTACCACCACTAAGAATATGACATTATTTGGTACTAGTAAAAGCAGAAGGTTTCTAGATTGACTAAAGTAATATTGCAACAAATGTATATTAGTCATTCACTCAGTTAACAAAAAGCAAACAATAATGATAAATTGTTTTAATAGAAGAAAAACTGCCTGACCTGTACCAATTGCTTGTTCTGCTTTTTTATTAGTTCAGAGGGATCGCCAAAAAATATTTCAACGTCAGGCTTCATCTAGATAAAAAAAAATGAATTAACAAAATATTGTATATGTTCTTTAAAAATACATTCAAATAAAAACAAAAATAAAAAAAGCAGACAGCATGACTGCTAATAGCTGGGGAAGAGAGCACTACTTAAATAGATTGGTCCACTCATAAAAAATAGGGAAGAATTTTCTGGTGTGTAATTTTTATAGATTAGCATTTATTAGACCTTTCTCAAGTTTTAAGATTTAACAGAATAAAAAAATATTTATTTTTCCTTATTTTAGAAATGGTATCTTGTTCATATTGATACAGTGTCAAATCAATTGCATTTGTAAAAACAAAGTCAGTATAATTCTATAAAAGTTAGGGATTGATTTTACACTATATGAATATTGTGAATAGGACTCCACTTCTAAAATGATCAAATATCAATATTTTTTTTATTCTGCTAAAGGTCTTGAGTAAGGTCTAATGAATGCTAATCTACAAAAATTATTTCCATAAAAGGTTTTTTCTAATTTTTTTTTAGAAGTAGACCAGTCAACCTCAGTGCCAGAAAAGAGATTTGTTTTAACAATATTTTTATATTTTACCTTTTAGGAATAAGAAAGTTATGTTTTTTTAACCCTTTGATTGCAAAAGTGACTAATATTTATAGATGAGCTTTGTTTAAATTTTGAAAAAAATAAATTTAGATAAATGCAGAACTGTTATAAAATTAAAATGCTTAAGAATCATTACAAATTACTTTTACTTAAAAGATAACAGATACACAAATATAAACATTCCTAGCTTAAATGCTTGTCTGTATTTTCTTTTTTAACAATTTTTGACATTCAGTTTTAATGTTGAGAATTTTAAAAAAAAAAAAGAATTGTCAGCAGACAGGAATTAATACGAACATTACCAACTAATTAAGCAGCTCACTTTGCAAGAGTCTTCTTTTAGACAAACAATATAGATTTTGCTTCTCTAAGTCAACTGCTGATGTATTGATGGATATTGCTGAAAAAGTCTATCAAGCTTTAGATAAGAATGGCATACTTGAATTATTGCTCAGGTCATCTGCTTATTTTGTGTGTATATCCTAAACTCAGCTGGATTCACTTTGTTGTTTATGCTGATCAACCCATCATCGCCCTTTGAGGCCTGATTCTACTCTTGGTGGCTCTGATGTCACTTTCTAGGTCAACTCTCAAGGAACTTAGGTAGTACAAAGTACTGTGGTAGGTTTACCCCATGAGATACCAAAGTAAGCTTTGTACAGCTTATTTTGGTATCTCATAGGGTAAGCCCAATACATATTAGGATCAACTCTTAGATCAAAATGTTCCTAATGGACATGAAATTTGATTTAGACCACTGGAATTTCTTAGCATGAATAACATTCACTTTCTTTTGAATTGTTTAATTGCTCCATATTACTGCAATTCCAGTTATAGTTGCAAATAAAATAATATCTATTCATCTAATTTGGACATAAATCATTTTCCTACTTAAAGCTAATTTGACCAGAACTGGTTTCATTTGAGCAGTTTTAAAAATTTCACCAAGAATAAAAAAATCTTATATACTATAGAAAGGAGGATTACTGTTACATGCAAGGTTTAATTTAATTGATATAATAAGTATATCTATTTAAATGTCTAAACTTTATAAACTATAAATGGTTAGAAACATTTACTATATAGTGCAACATAACCTAATAAGGAACACAGATAAATTACACTGAGACCTAAAAACCACTCTGTTTACTGGAAGAGAGCTGTAAAGACTTAATACATATGGTATCTGATACTTTCAAATTAAAATCTTAAGGTGTTTGATTCAGAAGTGAGAACATGTCTATATAATAGGACATAACACTCTGATGGTGATATAACAGATATTTAGCTATCACAAATCTGGATGTATTGACACATATATACAAATTCCTTTTACAATTATAATGTTTTGAGAAATACATAAATCCAGAAATTCATATTAAGACAAACAAAAAGTATGCATAATTTTTAATTATTTATTAAAAAATAATTTTTCCATTTAAGAAATTCTAATTTTAAATTAATATTTTATTTGATCGTATATTTTTCTCCTTGATATTTTATCTACTATTTTTCTGTGAACACCTTGCTTAGGAAGAATTGGTTAGCAAGCTCATGTTACTGCAGTGAGTCTGACCATCTCTGAGTACCTGACATTTGTAACCTCATGCCTTATCAAGTTGCAATACCATATTACTTTTTGTTTTATCAATCATATCAAATGAATCCACCTCAGTATCAAAAAATACATCAAACACAAGAAATTTGAAATATACTAACCTTTCCAGTAAGTAAAATGCTGCTACAAACTGCCTTACACATTTTACAACTCTCCTTAGTGCCTGGGAATATTCAAGGATAGAATTATTCTTATATTTAAAACATGGAGATTCTGTTGCTTTTAACAGATAAAACTATAAAAATCATTGAGTTGCTATGATCAGAATTTACTGCATCTGAATCAATAGTGTAGTTACAAGGAGGTGGGGTGAGCAGATGAATAAATTGTTCCTTATGAAAAGTCAGAAAACCAACTTTTATGGGGACAGCACTTTTAGGTCTGCTATATAAGCTTGTATTGAAATAAAAATGTTTTTATTGGGACACTACTCACAGTTGAAGGTCCTTTTCATGTTTGAGTGATTTAAACTATGGCATATGTATTCAAGCAACTATTATCTTCGCCGAACAATAAACATTATCCAGTGATGTATTCAGGGCTGTTCTATCATTGTTGACAATATGAACTCAATCACTGAACTATATCACTGAACTAAAACTGAAAGTGCTACAAATAACAAGTCATTCGTATTATTTTTATTTGGTATTTTTAGATGAAATATCATCATATAATTTTTTAATCAAACAATGATCTTAGTAAACTTTAGAATTATAGTAGACACCAATGCCAAATAGTATAATGATTATGTGGGTTAATAATAACAATGTTTATTTAGTAATCTATATATGTTTGTATTATTAAGATATAAATATATAAGCATGCATGCCTGACAGTAGGTACATATCTGTATCTGACTCCATGAAATTTCATACTGATCATACTGCATTATTAAATTTCAACTTATTCAAAATTTCCAGTTTTGTTTTTGTTTTGTTTTTTTATAGCAGGTATCAGAATAGAGAGTTGTATAAATTAAAAAAAGGAAAACTTATAAAACAAATGGACAGATGATTTTAAGTGGTGATGAAAAACACAATTTTTATGTCAAGAATGAATACCTTTTTCCTGTATATATTCATTTGATGTTGCACAAAATTTATAGCTAAAAGCAATTTGTCATTTAGGTTCAACTTTGATATCTTACGAATTCCAAGTTAACTATCCAAAAATTGTTCCAAAAATTTATAATCTAGTAATTCAATGTAAAAACAATTATTTAATGATGTTTATCCAATAACTTTAAAACAAACATTCTGAAAAATCAGTTTTTAAAGAGATGGAATTAAATTTTAGCTAAGAAAATGTAATTTAAATTGCAAAACAAATGACAAAATTTTTTTTTGGGGGGGGTTGAAACAACTGATCAATCTGCACATCTAGCAAGTTTCCAATGTCTTATTAGGTATTTTACACATCATTTGAAGTTACTACAAAATAAATAAATCATTTTTTTTGTTTTTCTTCAAGATAATTATGTAACTCTGTGTTAGTCAACTCAGATTTTTGAAAATGTATAGTCCACTGATGTCTGCCTTCTATGAAAACTGAACTACAACTCCGTCACACTGCATGCTACACATCCTCAAGGATAGTAGTGAGAAGGAGCAAAAGAAACAACTTGCCAACTAGGAATTACAAGTACTTTAAAACTTTGGTGTAACAAAACACCCGATGTGACTAACACAGGGTTAATATATCTTAAGCTTCCCGAAATTTTAGGTAACACTTTGAAGAGAATCTTTACCTTCAGTGAGACATTTTTCACAATACACATGACCACAGTTGGTCAATGAGAACTTGATGCCATTTCCTGGTTGAGTGAAACATAGGTTGCAGTGAAGCCAGTCTACCATTTTAATTGTGAGGGTAGGATCAGGAATTGAGGAAGACTGCAATATGCACCAGAGCAGAAACACAAAAATTCACACAAATAGTATATGAAAAGAAACAATTACTGAATAACAAAAATAAATAAAAAAACCTTTTACCATTGTAGGTAATGTTAAAATGGATTTTAAGTATTTTTTTTTCCGTCTGAGTTCTTGGGATTTACATTACATGCAGATTATTGTCCTCATCTTTGTTTTTGTTATCCCATTTCAGCCATTGTGCTCTCAGGCCTTCATCAGGTGCTTGTTAATCTGGATAATTTTCAGGGAATTTTGAACAGAAACTTTTATTTAATCTACAAGAGTAGCAAAATGAGAACAGTTGAGTTTTGAGTTTTCTACCCAGATTTCAACCAAGTACCCTCTGACTGAGGGGCGATATCTGTTGATTATTGTATTTTGTACCTGTGATGCCAGTTATTGCTATCAGGTGGTGAAACCAGTGGTTCACTACCTAATCCAGGGATTGAACTCACAACCACATTAACACACATATAACCAACACCTATATCCACTATGCTACCATTCCAAATGAGTGTACATCAGTGGTGTATTTTTGGAGACTTTATATTCAATGTCAGTTGGTTTTGATATTTGATTATCATGGTAGTTTATACTGTTTTTGTAATTTATTATTTTATATGTGTTGTGTCAATAATAACATATCAAGCAAGATGAAAACAATAATACAAGTATATTGACAATATTCATATATTGAACAATGAGAATATTTAATAACAGATTGAATAGGATTAATTACTTTGTAGTGTTTGTGAAGAGAAACTTTAAAAAAAATTGTATAAATTAAGAGTTGGTAAAATGAACAAATTAGACAGATTCAAATTCTAGCAGACACATTATTAGAACATATTCTATTAATTAGGTACCTCAACAAGATTTGTGATACTTTACATTTAAAATGAGTTTTTAAAAATGAAAAATCTTTCTTGCAGCTTTTATTTTAGTTTTAATTTCAAGCTGATAGATTAAATTTTGTCAATAAGGAAAATATTTTGCTGCATTTCAAAACTAATTTAATTTGATTGGCAGGGGTATTCATTTTGAAACTGCTAAAATTTTTGATTTTAGTACCATTTTTAGCCACCTGTCATCAGAATGTAATTCTCTTTATTAAAAAATCTTCCAAAAATAAAATATACTTTTCTGAAACTTTATTTGAAGAATATTAGATGATTTAAAGTATAATTAATCTGATTTGAAACAAATATTATTTACTTTTAAGTTTTAAATATTGCAGAAATGCATTTTTTAACACATCAGTAGTTGTTTATTTAATCTTTTGATGTGTTGACAGCTTGATGATAGACTGATGTTTATCTAACATTGTTCTACAAGTGTTTTATCTGTAAAAAATAACTGAACAATAACGTGAGTGCCTTTTGTATAAATTTTTGCTGCATATCTGTAATCTAATGTTTTATTGATTTTTAGATAGTTTGGTTTTAAATTTACTACAATTATTGCTCTTATTTTTTGATAATGTTGTGTATAAAGAACCTTCTGTTCAAAAATTGGCATGTTTATACATATACAATTCAAAATTCTTTTTAAAATACAGGGATAGTTCAGATTGTAATAAATTTTTTGATTTATGATTAATAAATCTACTTTTACTTAATAACAATATTCCCTAAAAAAAAATACACCATTAAAACTGAATTTTAAAAGATTTAAAAACTTTATAAATTATTTTAATTAAAAAAATTATTCTATTTAAAAAAAAAGAAAACAAATCTTGCAAAAATTTATTATTAGATTTTTTTTCTTAAGACAAGTGTCCTTAATATATGTTATTCATAAAAAAAAGAAATTAAAAATTTTTCTAATCAAATAATGTCTTAGTTCATTGTGGTTTTTATTTTATGATTCAGAGCAAATTTTTGGTAAGAGGGGGTTCGATTTTACAAAAAAACACAAAACAAAATTGATGATTTAAATTCTCCAAGGAGTTCTACTTTTAACTAATATAGTCACTAAAAATTATCTCATTGAATTTTTGGGTTTCCATAAAATTAAGTAAGTGAGGTGTAACAAAAAAAAAAAAAAAAAAAAAATATATTTTTACCAAGATTTTCTAAAAATAAAATTTCTAAAATAAATTCATTCATTTGTAAATATTTGATTTTTGTAAGAATTTCCAATTCTAAAATCTTTTGTCACAAAAAAAATACACTAAAATTTCCTATGCTAATTTATAGTCAGTCTACTTATGCAAGAAAAACAAGATTTTTAACCAAAATTTGAAATGTTCTAAAAAGGATTAAAACATATAATTAAATAATAAAAAATACTTTGGTCTTTTCTCTTAATAGCATAGAGATTTTAATGATAAAATCTAGTTTTTATTAAGTTTGGGGCAATTTTTCTTTTTAGTATGCTCTTTTTTTAGCAAATTTTCTAAAAGCTAGCTAAATATTAAATTTTAATCAAAATTTTACCACTTTTTTATTGAAAAATTATTATCCCTATGAAGGATAAAAAAAAAAATTTTTAAAAATAAAAATACAAAAAATTTAAAACATCAAATTATTAATCTGCAAAATCTCAGCTTTTAAGCATGTATAGTTATTAGAAATTTTATACTCTTCAATTAACACACTTTCAAGTAAAATCTAATATATTTCTGTTAAATAATCATGCAGAGCCTGGTACGTATACCTTGGTCTGTGCTTTTATAAATAGCACAAAGTATCAAGTCATAAGAAAAAATCTTCCATTGTCTCTAGTCTATTTTTGTTTAGAAGAAAATTTTGTCTTCAAAATAAGGAACTTGGCCTAAATAATTGTTTGTAACAATTCTGGAATATAAAATTTTGTATTTGCAAATTTATCTTTTTATTTCGGTATTTTGAATATTTTGACAAGGTCAAATTTCATCTTTTTAACTTTTGCAAACTTCAATGAAATAAATTTTTACAAAAAGAAAACAGCAAACAGGTAAAATTATCCTCTTGATTTAAAATATTATTAACCAAGGATAGAATTAGTTTTGTAAATATCTTCATTTTTTTGAATAATACAAAACATATCAAATAAAAATTGCAAAAATATTCCAAATGGTTAATAATTGGCAGTAAATGTGAATAACATTTGTTTGTAAAATAAGATCATATAAAATGTTCAAATTATTTTCAAATAGAAAAAAAAATTTAATTTATTTAAAAAAAAAAATTTATTAATTCAGTTAGACTTTGAAAATGATGTTTCTAATTACTTCCTCCAGGTAAAATCTAATAATAAAGCCACTAAGATGCAAAAGTTAAAAAAAAGTGAAATTATATGATAAAAAATTAAAAAAGGAGCAAAAAAAAAAAAAAAAAAGAACAGGAATTAAGAAGACAGAAGATAACAACTGACATTGAATTTAAATTTTGGAAGATCAAAGTTAACTACTTGAGGAAGGAACTTTAGCATAGAACTTATTAATAAAACAGAAAATCTTAATTTCAACTGTAAAATGATGAGACCTAACTGCCAATCTAGTACTGTGCATTTTTGAAAATGTTCATTGAACACATAGTTGGTAACAATGACATGATAAAAATATAGTTTTAATATCAACTTATTATTTAATAATCTCAACTTTATGGGGGTTGAAGTAAATAAAAATAATCTGTGATTTGAATTGTGGACACTATTTATAGCTAAAAATCTGGACATTGTTGTAAGCACATGAGGTTTTCAAACATTGACATTTGGTGGCAAATTGTTTTCTCTTTTAAATTTTATTTTATTTCACTGTTTAATTGTTTGTAAGTTAGTAAAAGATGTCAGTAGAAAACATTAGCCCAAAAAGATGCAATGAGTCACTCTCTTGGATGTTACCATCAACCATAATGGAAAATAAAAGAATAATTAGAGCAAGCCTTCTTCACCCTTATTTTCTTTTCATAAAAATTTATTGTACATAAAGAAACAAATTCTTTGTCTCAATTTCACACTGAGTAGGTGTCCTTTTTTGTGTGTCTGAATAACCAATAAGTGGTCAAAATGTTCAAAAAATGCAATTAAGAACATATATTAGAATTTAATTTAAGAACCACTACTTACTACAATGTTTTAAAAGTTCACCTTCTAGCCTCTTTTCTGATTCTTGCCCAAAGAATGTAAATAATGGGGAAAATTATTCACTTTCTTTTGTTTGAATTAGTGTACATGATTTTTAAACAACAACATTGTACCTTTAGGGATGAAATGTGGCAAATCAAATTTTATGAATACTATTCTGTAGATATATTTTTTTAAAATATTTTAGTCAGCATACAAAGTAAGTAAAATTAAGATTTTTTTTTTTTTTTTTCGAAATGTGAGGCATCAAAAGAAAAATCAAGATTTACTTTATCCTAAACAATTTGAATTAAATAAAAAAAAACAAACCTTTTTTTTTCCTATTTAATTTTTAACATTCATTTTGCTAACTTTTTGGTTCAGATATTTTTTTTTATTCAGTGACCTTTGAATCTTTTTTTGTAGAAAAAAATTAGAATTTACAAACATTTCGAAAAAAAAAGAATATCTCTTGACTTTTATTACAATCGTTTGTTGTTTTTTTTCTTCATTAATTTATTTTAAAAACATGAACTAAGAAATTCATGGCAATAAATTTATCACACATTTTTACGTATTATTACAAAAATAATTCGTTTGTTGGCAAACGATTTCTAAAAGTTTAAAAGACAAAGACACAGAGAAAAAAGAAGAAATAATCGCAAAAATCATTTTTATTATTAAATATTATTTTATTTTTGATCATTTATTTTTTTTACGAGGAAGGATTCAATGCTCACTGACCAATTTAAAAATACAGAAATTTATTACTGAACCAAAAAAATATACATATATTTCCTTTTTGTGTTGAAGTTGACATTTAAATGATTTAATGATCTATTCTGAAGTTAATTTCTGTAAAAGTGAAATTTTCATAGAAAATCTAAACTAGACAT